AGATTCCAAATACAAGTTATTGAATAAAATTCTGGTGTTATTTAATGGTACTGAATCAGGAGCTAAATTACAAAGAAGTTCTTTCACCTTCGTACATCAGTTATAAGGGATGGATAGTTCTTACTTCCCTTTACCACTGCATTTATGCCAACATTTCAGTATCCGATTTAGTTTCATCTATAGAGTCACAAAAAATTATGCAGTCCATTTGATCTAGCCCATAAAGTTTAAGTTGCACTTTCTTTAGTTTATCTCCAGTAGTTTTAAATTTTGTTGGCAATAGGATTTCGCCGTAGATTCTTCAGGGCTAATCGTCTCTGGGCTACGAGATTCGATAAAACAGGGGTCCAATATCGTTAGTGTAAATTTTTTGTGTCAGGGTTTAAGCAACATTTTATATTTTGGATATATTCATCGGCGGCTTTGTTTATAAGATTTACAAATTCATCATAAATATCCTGTACATCATTACTATGCTTAAAACATGTTTAAACAAACTTTCTAAATATGTTTTATAACCTACACAATTAGCCAATTTATATGTTTCTTTGTTTGTAAAGTTAAAAACTAGTTTTATATTTCAGACTAAATTTAACAACTAGATGGTCGCTTCCTAAATTTCTCATTAAGTGTAGTCCAACTAAATTTAATTGCTATATTTGTTGAAACAAAAGTTATCATCAGGAGAATTAGAAGATTTCGAGAGTAGTGTTATAAACACACCATTTTACTAATTTCACCCAGTGGTGGGGCTACCCCCATTATTTCTCAGAGAAACATCCATAACCGATCATTTTCCAATGAAAGAATTTAAGAGGTGATTGCCCTCGTGTATCATTTTATAGGACCAATTGGTTATGATGCCCATTAAAATCCCCAGCAATAAAGATGATTTTGAAAAAACTCAGAAAATATACAATTCCAATCAGTTTGCGATGTCTGTACAGAGGATGGGCAATACACGCAGACAATATTTTGTAAATATTTACAATTATAAAGTTTAACATGAATAATTTCGATACCATTATACTAAAAGTTGTTGGGCATTTTTGTGATTTGATTGATCTATGTACCAAAATAGCTACACCACCATATGAATCATATCTATCTGTTTCTATATACATAATATCGTTTTAAATTTAATTTCAAAATCAGAGTCAAGCCAAGTTTCAACTTACCAAAGCTATGTGGATTACTTTCTCTATTAAGTAAGTTTTCAAACTGTAATCTTTTTGGATATAAAACTCTCGCGCGTTCCATTGCAGTAACCCCAAGAGATTTAATTTAAAGTCTCTATCCATCAACTGAAATGCTTAAAAAAATCTTTCAGAAATTTTTCCACCTTCAAAGAAACTACTAAACAAATTTTATCAATTCATTAAAATATTATCTTTACACAAACACAGATTTTTTCTTCCCAGGTCACGCTGTCTTCTAAGATTGCACTTTTTAATTTTATTAACAGCCTCTTAAATGAAAATGCGAACTCCTTTCTATCTCTGTTTTTTACTATATTCTTCCGTAGATTTATTTTCTCCTTCGACATACTGACTCCGTTTCTTGGGTTTCTAGAATCCATAGTTTGTTTTGTGTTGTTTTTTTCTTTTTTCTTTTACGTGTTTTTTTTTAGACTTTGTTGACTTTTCTTTTTCACTTGCTTCACTATCAGAATACACCTCAGAACTATCAGGACATCTTGACTCTGTTCATTAACTTGGCATTACTACATCTCTGTATGTTACAAATTGGTTGAGATCTCGTTAGGTTTTCTTCTATCGGTTGTAAAATTTATGTGCGAATTTTTTGCTTCTTTCTATTTCTAAATAATGTTGTAAAGCTTTTCGGTACGTATAATTTTTCGACTCATAATGTAATTCTAATTTCTTTTTTCCTTAACAAAATAACGTAGAACTAGATTTACCATAGGACCATATGGGGACCCTTACAATTTAACACACTTGTATATCGTGAGTCTCACAATTTACATGATTGCCACCACATTTAGGGCATACAGTTTTATTTGTGGCAGCTTCTTACGTAGTGGCCAAATTTCCAACATTTTGAACACTGTGTGACTGGAAAAATTATACGGTTTCTATTTGAATCTACACCCATAACCATAAACATATGGCGGTACGGTCTCACTATTGAAAACATAGTCGCACTGTTTCGCTGTCCGTCCTAGTCACCCTTGTCTGTTTGTCTTTTGAGGCGTTTTACAGAGATTAACTCAGCATCACACTTAAAAGCTTCTTGAATTCTTGCTCACTAACTTCTAGCTCAACCTGTCTAACTATGCCATATGACAAGTTATTTTCTGTGTCGAATGACAACGGTATCCCATTTCCTTAATTTTTTTCGGAGTTAAAAGTTTTTCCGCTTCAAATTTGTATTTAACTGTATCAAAACTTATATGGATTTTTATATTTTATTTTATTATATGGGTATATTTAAAGAACGCATAAAACTTACGCCTAAAACCAATTTGTTTCGGCAGTGGTTACTTTGGAGGTCATGGAAATTTGTACAAATTTTCTGATTTATCTGCACTCTGATGAATTACTCCGCGCTAATCTTGTGGGTGTGTTTTCCCACGGTAATGAAGCCCATTTTTTTTTTTCATCTTCTTTATCTGAATTTTCTTTCCTTGATCTCTTCTCTGGTCTTAAGTAGGAGATTTCGTCGGAGTCTGCCTCATTAGACCAAATCAACTCTTCATTTATTTGTTGGTCATCTACAGTATTTCTATCTACCTCATCACACTCAATTTCATAGCGTATCTCACTTCCTATACTTTTTTCACCCATTTTAATTTACATTTATAATGAGGGTATTTAAAAAAAAAAGATAATAGATCGTTAAATGTGATATTACGTGCAACTACTTCGCCGCATCACACTCAACTGTGCTGGTAAGTATTGTTTATTATTAAAAACAATCTTTAAAAACAAAGAAAGATCGGAAGGTAAAATTAACAAGTGTGTCAATCAATTGCGAGACCTTGACCAAACTCGCGTGATATTTGCCCCTATGTAGATAGGTACAATTGTACAGAGATTTCAATGTCATCGTTACAGTATTTTATTGTCTAGAGCTTAGATCTTCCACAGAGATAATTAAAGGTGCATTTTAACAATAGTTTGGGCTTTGGTATCGTTCAAATACACATTTAAATTTAAAAAAAAAAAAAAAAAAAAAACACAGAGATACAAAAATTTTATTTATTATAATTAAAGGCACATAAAAGATCTTATATAATTTAATATATTTTTCGATACTATGATTCCGGTATTGATACAAAAGGTAAAGCCTCGAGTGTTTCGCCGTAGTCTTTAAGTAAACAATAACATAATGGACATTTTCTACCGTGAGATACGCCCCATTTCCGCGTTTCATTCGCGAAAGAACAATGCTCTATTTCGTAATATTACTTTCTGTGCTTTCCTCATTTTATGCGTTCGATAGACGATGTCTCCTACATAAAGGTGCATGTAAGTATGAAATATTAAAATATTAATTATGTTATAATCTAAGTTATCTATTAGACATTTTAGTTATTTAACACCTCCAAGTTAATTTGTAAGAAATTTATTCAAGTTATCTATAGTACATTATTAGTTAATTTATACACACTCCAAGTTCATTGTAAGAAATTTATAAATTTAGAAGAAATCTATTGTTAACTATAACTTTCATTTTTGTTTCGTGTCCGCAGTCGTGGGATTATGATCAAATTTTTTAATCCCATACCCTTGCTATCACGCCCTACCTACGTTCGTGTGACAAAAATGGGTACTTATACCGCCTCCAATATTTTTGTTTTTACTGTAGTTCATTGTAAATCTATATATATAAAAATGAATCCCTATTTCACTTGGTCACGCCATCACGCGTGAACGGCTGGACCGATTTAACTAATTTTTTTTGTTGTGTTTGTTATTGTCAGAAGGTCTTATGAAAGAAAAAAATGAAAAAATAACGAAAAAAAAATTTAAATGTATATGGCTAACGCTGGCTAATAACTATTTATATCTATTTAAAACTACCTAAGGACGAACCTTTTTTTTTTTTTTTTTTTATAGTTAGGAAATCCTATTACGGATACCACCCGACTTCCCCCGGGGTGGTTATGTGGAGACTCTCCGGCTAATGAGACCGGCATACCCACTAAAAACCCAACTTTCCCCCTCTGCCGCCATGTGGGGCGCCATGGGATGCGCTCTCGCATACAACCGCGACGCCCGACGGTTGGCCGAAGCCACCAACCATGAGGCTCGCCCAAGCGGGACAACCCCATTATGGAAGGACTCTCAACCCAAGAAGTGAGGCCGCCCTAAGTCCACTCTGCTGATCAGAGAAGTACCGGAGCAGCCCCACACCACACAAACACCGCCACCGAACAGTGGGGCCACCTCAATCGGCTGCAGAGGACAGGGAGAGCACGGACAACGAAACACCGGACACTCCTCTTCCCCATGCAGCCCCACCGCCCGTCCGCCATCAAACGGTTGGCGGCCCCGTCTAGGCCCGCGGAAAAGGTGGGGGAGGCTAGGAGAACGGCGCACCGAAAATAACTCGGCACTCCTCTCCCGCCGCGGCCTACCCTCCGCCGAATAGCGGGCCTGCGACCACAGTCCCGCAATCGGCACCCATTTCATTCGGTTGTGGGACAAGCGCGTCCCACCACGGTGGCCGCAACGTTCTTCGGCTCGAGGCCTAGACGAGCGGCCCCATCCAAGCCATTTGGTCCGCGCCGGATTTCTCCGGTACCACCCGCCCCTCTAAGCGGGTGGCATGCCCCTATCCGCCACCTGGGGACGCGCCCGGTAGGAGTTGGCTTCTCCCCCGGGACCTAAGGACGAACCTGAGGGAAGCGAGGGTGAGCCGCTAGTATTACATAAATAATAAATAACATTAAAAAAATCCTTACTTTAAGAAACTGCTTTTAATTTGCTGTGCTATTTCCCAATGCCCCAGGTGTACCATACTGTCCGCGCAACATGCACGCTTACCACACGCGATGCGATGGTCAAACAATGTCGCAAAGAACATGTGAGTCGCCATTTGTTTACGTCATAGGTACGAAATGTGATACTTAACGATTTTAAAGTTACATAAGTTATGTGCCTTCATGAAAATCTAATATGTGATCAAATATTTAACTTAAGAACTGCGTTCCTCCAAATAGGGAAGGTGAACTCATGTTTTCCACTTACACGGAAAGAGGTGCAACCAGATTTATATTTAAATTTATATTTAGATTTATATTTAAAGATTAAATTTTATATTGATTCCGTAAAACTCGAAATACTAATAGGCAGGTACTAATAGGTAGGTTTTTGATAATAAGCTAAAAACGCAATTTTAAAAACGCCTTTAAAACACCTAGCTAATACATTTTTTTAGCTATATCAAAGTGATACCATCATAATGTACTATTTGATTGTTTCTAGGATATACTTGTGGCTGGTCTCGATGCGACTGTAACGGAGACCTACTTTATGATGAACAGAGTGGATACTGCGTAAAAGAGACGGACTGTCCATTGTTCCCGACTAGAAAACCTAAACCGAGAAGACCATCGGGTCGCAGGAAAGGTGGTAAACAAAAATATCATTCGTCTAAGAGGATAAGGATAAAAGAAGAAGAATTACCCGAGTCACAGTGATATGTACTATACTATGTACTATATATAATGTATATTGCGAATAATTATGATTATCTATTATTATAGATATTTTATTGACCTTAATTGCTACTAGTTAATAAAGGAATATTTCTTGAAAATAATTAAGTCTTTTATTTACTTTAAAAGCAAATTATTATATTTTCGCTAGACAACTTTTCCAAGAAAACTTCTACATTAAATAAATAAATAAATATGTTGGGACATTAACACACAGCGCCATCTAGTTCCATGATAAGCTACGATGCTTGTGTTATGGATACCAGATAGTTGATACACTACACATATATAACTTTAAATACATACATATTATAAATATAAACACCCATGACTGGAGTACAAACATTCGTCATAACACAAATGATTGCCCCCAGCGGGACTCGAACCCGCGACCGCTGGCACAGCAAGTAGGGTCACTACAAACTGAGCCAAACGTGTCGTCATTTACATTAAACTATGTTAGCCGTCTAATTTTAAGTCATAGATAGATGTTACATCAAACATAAGCCAAAATAGTAACTAAATTTGTATGTGTATCTTCTGCACAGTTTTTTTAGTGTGTAATAATTTGTATGGATATAAAAGGTACCCCATCTCATCCGTTTAGGGGTTGAATTTCAAAGAGTTCTTCAGCGTATATCTATATAATTATAAAAATAGCCTTTCATGTCATACGCTTAAACGATTTCGCCTAAGCGTTTGAACAGTCATGCAAGAAGCATTAATTATTATTATACTAGCAGAACCCGCGGCTTCACTCGCGCTTAAATTACAGAAAAAAATATCTAAAAAGGTAGGTACCTAGGTTTCATACAAACATTCATACGCTATTTTATCCCCTTATGGGATGATTTTCGAAAAATGCTAAAACACGTATTTTTTTAATTGTATTGAAGAGCATTTATACTAAGTTTCAAGTAATTCTGATCAGAAATATTTTTTGGAATTGTATTATAACGTGTTTTCCCGTGGGAATGAGATGATTTCCCGCGATAAAAAGTGCCTTTGTCACTGTCCAGCTCTCCAACTATATTCACACCAAAAATCACGCTAATCCGTCACTCCGTTTTGACGTGAAAGAAAGACAAACAAATACACAAACAAACAAATACACTCACATTATAATATTAGTATGGATAAATAACATATTAGGGGATTTATTTAACTAATACAAATTCTTCAACGTACAATGTGCATCTATATATGTTTTCTCCGATAGGCAAATAACAAAACCTGATTTAGGTTGAATTAGGAAGTTACATATAGAGCTTTCAACTTATAGTCATCTTCCCTTTGTAAAGAAATTCACATAAGTTTGCCTATTAAACAAAAATAGACGTACATAAAATGTATTGCCCAATTCAAATGACTCAAACTAGAACCGAATCGATGGACTACCATTACTACGAGTACTACTCTACACGATGTCTCGTACACATAAAGATATTTTTTCCTGTTTATTTTGTCGCATCCGTTCATGAATGGTCAACAGATTAGCATTGTGGAGAATAAGCCAATAAAAAGCAGACATGATTCAGGTCTTTCTATTTCTAGTGGGGTGTTTTACATTTAATGATGCTATGTATTATGCAAAGATTGGAATTCCAGGATGCTTGATGTATAACAATACTTGTAAGTATTTTGAATTTATAGTATAGCTATATATACTATTTTATAAGTTTTCAGATGAAAATGACTAAATTGATTCTTATGTGGGGTACGTTGCATTTAAAATACCTACCGTAACTCAACATATTTTGAAAGAGCAATTGATAAAATTCTCAAAGGCTTCTCACAGCGGAACCTCTCTCCAAAGGTTCTCTCGGACTGACTTTGATATTTAACACATTTAAGTTTTTGCACTGAAGATGGTCTTACTACCTGGTTTGACTTTTAGCTATTTTATAACCGTACTTACTTAAGTAAGGGCCGGAAAATAATACTAATTAATAGAAATAGGATAAAATAACAAGTATTATTAATCATTTTAGGCGTGGAATCATGCCCTGAGCACATGCATAGAGTGAACAGTGAATGTAGACCGACGCCTTCACAGAGGACGTGCGACGAACCTGTCGCAATCTCAATCGGTGTCGTGTGCGACTGGTCCCGCTGTGACTGCGACTTTCCCTTCGTACTGCATCCCGCCTCTGGATACTGCTTTGCTTACGAGGATTGCCCATAATGTGTCTCTATTAGTATTATTAGATGCCTCTTATAATATAAATTAATAAATATATGGAAATTCAGATGGTTTTTTTTATTTATTAATTATTGCTTTTCCTCTGCAATTTCTATCTTAGGAGTATAATCATAACTTTTATAGATAAATATAATTATAATTTTACTTCCGACTGGCGCTCTAATTTTTTGCTCTACTTATTTGTTTATAATGCTATTTAAGATGTAAAGTATTTTTACATTGTAGTACTTATAGTATTTACAAGTACATATACAATAAAAAGGTCTTTTGAGTTATTCTTAACTTATTCTTAGTTTTGAATACTTAACAATTAATTTAAAAAAATGTATTAAAAACGCGCATTGAATTAACTTACCGTTTTGTGATTTTTCCCCAAAAGGTTATTTTTTTTGTATTACAGATATAACTTAATTTTATTTACTGAAATTATTGTTCTTAAGCACATTCCTATAGGAAATACAATTTTTTTGCCTCTAATGTAACAGCAATCTTTAAAATTCAATTTGTGCCGTTCCTGGCAAAATTGCGAACGTGTCATATTTTATGGTTTAATGGTAAACTTTATTGGATTTTACAATTTTCTCGCGACATTTCACGAGGAGGTAAATATATATGATATTTTTTTAATCAATATCAAACTGTTACAGCTTATATTGTTGTTTTGTTTTGTATATCTGTTTTTCTGTCTTGTATGCGTTTGTATTATTTGGTTTATGGTAATAAATAAAGAACTCTTTTTTTTATTTACGTATTTCGTATGCCTGTCACTATAGAAAAAGCCGTTAAAAATGTATATAATATTTATACAAGGTATTCTATGGTATGGCTAAAGCATTTATGAAATACTCAGTCGGAAAATTCCATTTGAATATGTAGGTAATAGGTTTATTTACATAAAATTCTAACTTTGTTGATTGTTCTAGGTACACCGGTCACTGCCCCCTGTTGAAGTTTCGCTACGGAAAGTGCTACGGCGACAACACCCGTCAGATTCTTAAAGAGATACGCTCAAAAGGATTGTTTAAGTAAGATTGCATCAAACTTTGTATTATACAAAAACATTTATTAAAAAGTTTGTTACACAATACCTTTGTTCTTCTACAAAGTATTTAACTAAGACTAGATATGTTCTTATTAAAAATACTAATTACTAGCGACTTGCCAGTGACGCTCGCTTCGCTCAGGTACATCACTAGATGCCTAACAATACAACCGACTTCAATCATTTTTATTATGATTTCTGATAGTAAACATTTTTTTATGAGTAAAATATTGGCAATACTTCAGGCAAAATCATCAAAATGAGACTTTATTGAAATTTCTGCATTCTTATAATTGGACAAAGTTTAAAATATTAATCCATAGTAATATTATAAATGTGAAATTGTGTTTGTTTGTTAGTTTGTTTGTCTTTCTTTCACGTCGAAACGAAGTGACGGATTAGCATTATTTTTTGCGTGTAGATAGTTGGAAGGCTGGAGTGTGACATAAGGTACAATAGATATAAAAGTATACTTCATTTAAAATAATAAAATAAAACATCACGATACAATTAAAGTAGGTCACGAATGCTATTATTTGTAAAACAATAAGCTACGCTTTGCAACCATGCTACGGTTCGTAGAGCTACGACTACGGTTTTCTCGCTTTGACTAATTTGCCCTGATTTCACCGAGTTTTTTTTTTAAATTTTATATATAGATTTAGAAAAACCCGTGTCAGCATACAAATATCCCGTTAACATAAGGTATTATAACAAACAAGGTTTTATAACATTTTTTATTTGTTCAACTAAGACAAGATGGAAAAAATTGATAAACTTCCGAATAAATCCATACCTCCGATTAATCTAAAATTTGGTACACATATTTATTTCAAAGTGCTGATTACGAATATGTTATTCAAAATAAGGGCATATTTCATTTTCAATGTCAAATCTAGAAAATATGTTTGTAATGTTTTCCACGTTTATCATAACAAACATTGATTCTAGAGGAAAATATTTATTACGAAAGCTGCAGGCCATAATAAAATTTATATTTTTTGTTCAATAATTGATTTATGTATCTACTTCTCAAATTATATGGAAAAGTGTTCCCAAAATAAAGATTTATTATTATTATTATTATTATATAATTAATAGACTTTAGCATAATTGTTATAATGCTCATGTGGCGCTCTTTACCTCCAAATATTCTGGAAGCATGAAATTTTAAGGCGTAATATTGCTTTTGCATTATTTTGCTTTATTTTTTAACTATATCGTCTATATTACCCCAGTTTCATTGTACACCACATATTAAAAAAAACGAACAGTCGATATTGCCACAAACTTTCTATACCATTTCATTTTTTTTTAGTAAGCCACTTAAATATCGGCCTGGTGACAACTACGAACTCGACAACATGCCCCGGCGGGTCGTGCCTGCGCGGGAGATTTACGACGGCTCCCATCGACAGCCGGCGTACATGACTGGTTACACTGGATATGTACCAGGCATGAATTTCACGTATGTATTTAATAAATTTTCAATTTATTTGCTACTTAAAGTTTGTATGAAACTACCTTTTTAAAGATTTTTCGTAGTTCTAACGCAAGCGAAGCCGCAGGTTCTGCTAGTTCATTTATAAATTATAATATGATTGGCGTTCATCTATAATCTATATTTACGAATACCTAGTAGTAAGTACCTGCCTGAAATAAATGTTGGAGCAGCTTGAAAATTCTACGAATTTCTCAAATGTTTACATTACCTATTAAGTATTTATATGTACTAAGGAAGGTGACCTTATGATATAAATATATAAACTATTTATATGAACCCTATTAGGTACTTGCTGACTAACCCATTGGTCAAGTAGCTACTACTAGCTTAATATAACAGAGCCTTGGTTGAAGTCCAGGTCGTGCCAAATATAATTTTCAGTATTTCTGTCTAAAATCGTTGAAAAATTGTAGGTGGTACCTACACCATCTTGCCTCGGAGAGTATGTAAGTCCGTCTTCCCGTTGAATCTTACCTAATAACCTTTAGACGTGTAAAATAAAAAAATCTTTCAAAATCTATCGAGCATAATCGAATGATGTGCGATCAAACATTACAAATTTGCCTTATTCTTACCTATCTATATATTAGGTTAGACGTAGCATTTCTATATAGTTTGCGAGTAATCTATACATATAATAAAATTGTAACTAAGCCGAATCTGTACATTAAATATTTTATTGAAGATCATATTAAATCTGTCTCTTACCGCATCACAGAAAAACCAGTGGAGGGATTTTGATGAAATTTGGTATGGTGATAACTGGTTATTCGGGTCAACATATAGAATACTTTTTACCGTGGGAAAATGTCTCATTTCTGAGAAAAAATACAAAAACTGCAATTTAAGAGCATACTAGAATGAAAAACCTAAGAATTTGATTTTTGGTCATCTGAATGCGGGCGGAGCTGCGGGCAATGCTAGTACTATAATAATAATTATAAGTAGCTACTAGCTATATATATTTATTTAATTTTCTAGGTATGGAAAGTCCTATGGCCGCACTGCTGATGATTGCATGGCGGATTTCACAGCGAACCAAAGAGATTTACGACGTAAAGCCGACTTGAACCGAAGTTATGTAAGGTCAAGGAGCGCACCGAAAATGGAAACCGTTCACTCTAGAGATGAGATCCGACGAGATCTGCACAGATTTAGAGAAATAAACAAATATAAGGGTGAGTGAAATATCTAAGTTATTATTGTATTGCGACCCTCGTTTCACTTAAACTAATTGCAACATCTCTCACGGTCTTCCGTAACGGCAATATTATGCTATCCCTTGGGAACTCGTTGTAAGTAGTCACGTCGATCCATTGCTTCGTAAAAGAAGGACAAATTAACAAAGATAATTTAATTGAAAATATATAAAAAAATAAAAGATAACAAATTAAATAAGATAATATATATCTAGAATCTAGTGATCTAAATTTCAAGATATGCTTATAAAGGCGTATTTGTACGCCTTTTGATTGATTTTTGATTTAACACATTTGTACTTATAATTAGACATGTATAATAATTATTTATTAATAGTAATATTATGACTATAAATATCTATAATACTTTTTTGATCGAGGTTACCTACCTCGATCAAAAAAGTATTAGATACACAATCAGCGACAAAAAATGTCCTCACTGAATAAGCGCTCATTTGAACACTTGAGCGCGTTTTTTTTTTGTGAAATCAACTTTAAGCATTGCATTTAAGGTTCAATTTACAGTGATGTATATTTATTTCAACTATAATAATTACCTAAACACAATTCATGACAGTTTTAGAACTTTTACTTGGGATTGTGTATCTAGTACTTTTTTGATCGATGCTAGGTAATGACTATAATCATATATACTCGTAAATATATGATCACATAATTGTGATCCATTGCAGTAAATCGCGATAAACATTCACTTCAGAAAACGTGGGAAAGATTTAAGGGATATAAATAAATCACAGATGAGTTTCTTGAGAAACCATTAAAGTAATGGAAGTCGGGATTTTCTGTAGAATCTTCGTAAAAGTTTTATTTTACGTATTCACATCGAAATCACATTAACCCTCAAATCAATAAATTGCATAAAATTTTTGAAATAATTACTTTGTCACGGCATCGAACCTGCGACTTTTAATTTTAATACTGTGGTACTATTACATTAGGTAATATTAGAAAATATCTGATATGCAGAGTTTGAACTCGCTTCATTTGATTTTCAGCAAGCGCGTTAATATTGGGCTACCATTGTTAAATTAACTAATTAGGTCATTTAAAATACAAAAACTATATTTCAGAGAACACAATATCTCCGGAATTCCCACCAATAGCTGGTTACACGGGTCATATACCGAGGATAAAGGGTTCAGAAGCTTCCCTCAGCCAACGATACCACTGCGCTGCAAAACGAGGCTTGGAACTGATCAAAATGGAAAGAGATAAACGGAAGGAGATACAAAATGCTGATGTAAATATACGAGCTATTTTAAAAAACCACGATAAAACGTCTTATTGGAATTGGGGATAGCATACAGGAAGAAGAATGTTCTTCACAAAGTGTCGATGAACATTCTTCTTCATTTTACAAGAGTATTATTGAAGTATTATTTTGTGATAGTGTACTGAATAATATGTTGCCTAGATGAAAAAAATGTTATTTTTTATGAAGTTAATTATTTGTATGTTGAAATAATTTTGGAAATTTTTATCTGTGTACAGATTAAAAAAATATTTTTGTAACCGTTAAAAATCGAAAAGACGATAAATGTAAAACCTATTTTCACGCCTAGCCAGTCATAGCAAAACTAGATTTTTCCCTAGATCGTCCTGCCCTTAGCAATAAATTAATTACTCCAGGGGTGGTCAAGTTTATAAAAAATAACTAATAACTAACGACAAAATGAGATGTATTAATTTTTTGAATTGAATATATGTATTGTTAATATAATATTTCATGATCAGCACAATTTACATTGCTAATGTACATAGACTTAGGAAGACATAAATAATGTTCGGTAAAATAATATTGTTATGCTAAGTATATTACAAAAAATTACATATTTGAGAAAGTTTGCTTTTCATATGTAATTTTATGATGATGTAGTTTTTAATTATAAAATTTTTTGGGAAACACTGGAGTGATGGTATTCTTTCATGAGTTATTAAGTAACAAACGACTTATATTAACAATCAAAGTATATCATCAGTCAATAAACAAAAAATCATTAAAATCGGTTTATGAAAGGTAAAAATAACAGTAGGTACCATACAGAAGAGCACAAAAAGTAACAAAATAGATATACTATTATTAATGTGAAAGGATGTGTGTCTGTGTGTATGTTTGTTACTCTTTGACTCTGAAACAGGCTGGAGGGATTTAGATAAAATTTTGTGTAGGTATAAATAGACTTGACCTAGAGTCACACATAAGATAATGTTAGGCACTTAGGGACGCTTCCGAGCGGAGCGAAGGTAAGTTAACAATATCCAAAAACCGGTCGAGTGCGAGTCGGACTCGCACACGAAACGTTCCGTACCGCGTACAAAATATAACACTATGTACTAATCGTTTTTTTTTAATTTGCAAGACGGCCATTTTGAAATTCGCCATCTTGGTTTTTTATTATTTGTTGTTATAGCGGCAATAGAAATACACACTGAAAATATGAACTCTCTACTTATTACCATTCATGAGATACAGCCCATTGACAGACGGATGGACGGACAGCGGAGGTTTAGGGTACCGTTGGCACCCTTCGGGTACGGAACCCTAAAAATGATCAGAACGTTACTTTTAAGATAAAAAGCATTCAAAGAGTATATAAATATACTTCGAATTTGTTAATGCCTTATATTTATTTATTTAAATTAGTCATGATATTTACAAATGGTAAATACATGCACTTTCGAAAATTCATACTCTACATAAAAAACGAGGAATTTATAAATTGTAGTTATTATTTTTTGAGATTAATATTTTATATATAACCGAGCCACTAGTATATAATGTTTGTTTATAAATTTAATATTAATAATTTATTTTAATTTAAAAATTTAATAATTTATAAATAAAATTTTATCTCTTTATTTATAATTTTATCTCTTTAAATATTACAAATTTTAAAATGTAAAATTGTGTACATAAATAGGCATATTAAATTTTAAATATGGGAATAAAATCTATACTTATTATAAAAATAAGTCCCCCGGCCGCGTCTTTCTGTCCTCCTGTCTGTCTGTACGCGATAAACTCGAAAACTACTGAACGGATTTTTATACGGTTTTCAACAATAGAAAGAGTAATTCTTGAGGAAGGTTTAGGTATATAATTTATTATGCTTTTATGTAAATTAGCTGAAATACGGCGACAAATGTTGAAGAGGTCGCAAAAAATCTCGCCAAATGGGAACTTTCCACGCGAACGCCGCGTAAACTAGCAAAGATACAGTTAAGTAATGTACTAGAGAATTCAAAATCTATAAAAATGCTACAAAAAAGTCCGCGATAGCATATCTCTATCTCTTACGGTTGACTTACAATAACCACTTTTATGTTAACATTTTTAATTAAAAACATTACGTTATTTTCAAAGTTATTTTCTTTAGTTCGGTATTAATCCTTATCCAAATGAATATTTTAGTTAGCTTAGTCATTTAATGCAGATTAAAATTGCTCTTCACACTAAATCAATCAGATGAATAGTTTTTGAGATATCGTTGTTAGAAGTAATTAGTAGCGAAACATTTTTAATGCTTGGCGAGCATTGAGATGCCTACGGCGAGTCCATCCCCTCTGCCCCGCATCGCTCGACCGCCTGCTCAAGCTATATAAACCGGGCGATGTAGCGCGCGATCCTAGGATACTTTTTACCGCGGGAAAATATCTTATTTCTGAGGAAAAATACAAAAACTGCAATGTAAGAGTATACTAATATGTAACACCTAAGAATTTAGTTTTTGGTCATCTGAACGCGGGCGGAGCCGCGGGCAATGCTAGTATGTAAATAAAAATAAAACTAAATATTGCCATGGTAAACTAGTTTTTATTAAGATTTTAATATAGTTAATAAATTTTTGTAGCTTTAGCTAACATTAATTCTATTAGGACATATTGACATACAAAAATAGAGAATATATTTATCAATTTAAAATTTAGAAATAGTTAAAAATTACCATTTTTGGTCGAATTGAAAATTTAAAAAATAATTTCTTTTTAATTTTGTAATACTAAAGAAACTATCCTGCCCAATACCTTATAGTAACTAACCTATTTTACTTAAATTATAACGTAATTGTTATTAAATATTAAATTAATTAATTAGTCTTCTAAAATGTCACGTTCCACATGACAGTAGAGTTATACCATAGACATAGAGAGTGGACTGAATGTTTCTTTACCAACCGTCAGCTAAAAATGGCGGAAAGGCGCGACAAAGACAAAACGAATGTGCGGCCAGAAGTCTTCTGTATTCATCGATCAAAAAATTACTAAATACACAATCAGCGACAAAAAATGTCCTCACCGAATGAGCGCTCATTTGAACATTTGAACGCGCTTTTAAATATTTTTTTTATGAAAACAACTTTAAACATTGAATTTAAGGCTCAGTTTACATTGTTGTATATTTTTTTCATCTAGAATAATTACCAAAACACAATAGGCGAGTTTTAACAGAACTTTTGCATGGGATTGTGTATCTACTACTTTTTTGGTCTATGTATGTATTAAAATACGATTAATGAAGATAGATATTTATAACCATATTATATTCCTTTATAATATTATATTTATTTCACATTCCATTTATAAATTCAAATTGTAATAAAAGACAGGTATTGGCCGCACGTTCTCTTTCTCTCTTTCTAGAGAGTGGTCAATTTCATGAGAGTATTACTCAGTCCATTCTCTACGTCTTGAGTTATACAAATATAAAATTAGGACTTATGTATATAGCATAACATGACATGGCTTATGTAAATTGCACCATAAGATTTTGGAATAAGTTAATTCGTTGTTAAATTTATAATATATTTGATATAATCCAATTTGCACAATACATAAAAAAACTCATCACAATCATAGAAGTAAAAGGTTATCGTTGGTTCCGAAAACGAGGGAATTATTTTTTAAAAACAATATCAAGTGTCCATGAAACACACAGTGTAAATGTTATTCAATATTAAAGTTCACATTCCTAATATAAAGACGGCTTAGAAATTGAGTAAATAAATAAAAGTTATTATATTTTTATACATACAAGTCAACATTTCTATTTCCTTCATACAAAACATTTAAACAAGTAGACAGACATTTACAAGAGGTTATGTACATACATATAAATTATTATTATGCAAATTGTATTGTAACAAATAACACAATCTTATCTAACTGGGAATTTATACTTATAGTATTTTTTAATTTTAATTCATGTTTTCAACATAATAGTACCGTGAAAAATATAAATATTACCAACTATTCTAACACATATTTTTAAAATAACTGAAAAATAATAAATTCGATCTGTCAAAACACCGCCATTTTCGCGCGCTTTCGTTGTTACGTCACAAGCTATGTAACTACCTATTTTTATCATCAAACGCTATGTATAAATCATAGACATAAAGAGTAAACTGAGTGTTTCTTTGACAATCGTCAGCGAAAAATGGCGGAAAGGTGCGGCAGAGACAAAACGAGTGTGCGGCCAGATGTCTTCTGTATTCATTGAAATACGATTAATAAAGATAGATATTATATAAGTATACATATTACTTAACGTTCAATAATTTTATATTTTTTTCATATTCCATTTATAAATTCAAATTGGAATAAAAGTCGGGTATTGGCCGCACGTTCGCTTTTTCTCTTTGTCAATTTCATGACAGTATTTCTCAGTCCAATCTCTACGTCGATGGTATAAATTCTGGCACATTATTATTGTCAAAAACGCCTTAACTTCTGACGTCACAATTTGTTCCAATCAATGACAAAGAGTATTGTAAATTTTAATATACCACGCATATTTTACACTAATTATTAAGTAAATAATCAGAATGTATGGTTTAAAAGAGTTTAAAAAAAAAAAATTAAACCAAATAAACAACATGCCTATTTCCCATTAAAATGTCATATCCATAGTATTATGGGTTCAAAATGCCAAGTTATCTGACATCTAGAATCAACTCTGCGGTACAATCTCCATGATTTTACCCGTCCTTTCATCAACACCATGTATTACGATGGGTTCTTCATCATCTATTGGCACATTAGGTATATCCTTCTTTTTATCGCTAGCTAATTCCAACATAAGAGTTTCTAATTTCTGAGCCTTCCTAGTTTCATTGTGAGTTATTAAGGCACAAAGATGTTCAGTCAATAGTTCTTTTTTCTCTTTCTCCTTTTGTAGACTTATTTTTGCTTGTAGAAACTCCTTTTCTACTTTTAAGTAATGTTTTCTGTAAATAATTGTTATAGAGCAATAAATTATTATGTTACATAGTGTTGTTGTTTTATTAAAACTATATGTATTGATAAAAACTTTTTAACAAATAAAATAAAAACCGACTTCAACAAAAGCACTAAAAAGTAAAAAATAACTGATTGGTAGTTGTCATTTACTATACATACCTAATCAAATATTTTCGAAGTCGGTGTGCTTTGGCTAAGTAATTAAGTAATTAAAAGTAAGAATTCTAACGTGTTAGGCTTGTCAAATCAAACAAAATAAGCCCAAACTCAAAGTATCTACTATTAGCCGTTGAAGAGATCCACCTTCTGGCCTTACCATCAGATCAGGTCAATAATACCGAACCACTGTACTATCAACGGAAATAGAAAAAATTGCAAAGTTTCAAGTCAATATGACAATTAGAAGTAGGTTAAATTCATCATTAGCTATTTTTCCACCCTTAGGGGTGGAATTTTTTTTGAAATTTAAATAGGACCAATCTGGAAGTATACACTTTCAAACAACACAAAAATTGTCCAAATCGGTGAATAAATGGCGGAATTCTGAGGTAACAAACAACAACAAAAAAAAATACAGTCGAATTGAGAAACTCCTCCTTTTTGAAGTCGGTTGAAAATGGTGTATTTAGCAATGCAGATATTCAGACTATTTTTCTTTACTTTTCAGTACCTAACCCCTAAAAAAAAGTAAAAAAGTCCTACATTTTCTCACTGATTGTAAAAACTATACCTCAAGTTTGGTTAAAAGAATGCATTATCCAAAAATGACTGGTGGGAGAGACTCTGTGGGACTATAGACTTTGTCATGATCAAAATTGAATAAACATCTATCTTACTAATATTATGAATATGAAAGTTTAGATGTTTGGATGTATGTTTGATGCTCAATCACGCCAGAACGGCTGTACGAATCTGGATGAAATTTGGCTCAGAGATAGATTATAGTCTGGAATAGCACATAGGCTACTTTTTATCCCGGAAAAATGTACGGTTCCCGTGGGATAATTTGTTTTTGTTTTTCTAGAGACAAACCCGAGCGAAGCGAGTGTGAACCGCTAGTAGTAATATAAAATAATATACAATTATACAGACAAATACTTTAATTAGTTGGAGCCAGCCATGCATATATAATATGTTAGAAAGTAGAGGGTAAAGGTCGAAACATTATTTTTTTATTTAAAGTTCGTATGATAAAATTAACTAAATTTTATTTCAAACAGACAGAATTTTGTGTGATTATACTTTCTTCGAAATTACGTGAATATTTGCTTTGCTATTCACGGATTTATTTATATTATTAGTTCCATACGTTTCGAATAAGCCTCTACCGATTCACGACAGTCTCTCCCGTGACCATGATTGCTGTAAAGCATTCGAAACGTCGAAGACGAAAAATCAAAAGAAATCCGCGAAAAAATACGAAAAGATAGTTTTATTTAAAATTTCTGTGGCAATATTTTCAATATAATAAAGAGCAAAAAGTACAATCTATATTTTAATATAAACTTATAATCCTAAAAAGAAGTGACTTACTCTGCCTCAGCATAACTAGAGCACGCCTGATCTATTTTCTTCCTCAGAACAGACACGTCCTGTGAGAACTGTCCGTCCATTATTTGTAATTCTTTCTTTATCTTCTCTAACTTTTGCACTTCCTCTTCTGTTTGTTTTGTCCTATGAAGTGTTTTTTTTTTAATTAATTAATAATATAATAAATAATAATGTAAAATAATTAAACATTATATTTATATTTAGGTTATTTTTTTAATAACCTTATTAAAAACTAATATTTTATTTTGACTATTAAAAATATATAAATACTTATAAAAACTGCTACACAGAATGGGATAAACAGCCTGTTTTCATCTTATGTGGAGAGAAAGTGCGAGTCAAATAGCATTATAATTGAATTGCTATATTTACAAAAATAACAAAATGCTAATAACGTTTTATATTTATATACACGACTACATACTACATTTATATATACGAATCACCCTCGCTTCGCTCGGATTCGTCCCTAGGTGCGTTTTAAAAGTTAGTATGAATATAGTATGCATGTAGTATACATATAAACCTTCCTCTTTAGCAATAGATAGAATGATTCACTCTATCTATTGCTGAAAACTGAATTAAAATCCGTTGCGTAGTTTAAAAGATCAAAGCGTACAAACAGTGGGGGCGACTTTGTTTTATACTATTTATAGGTTAGTAAATTGTATTCATAAATATTAATTATATTAATAGAACAGCCATACAAATAAATTGGCAAGTATACATTTTCTCTCAGACATGCAGGTTTTCTCATGATGTTTTCGTACACCGTAAGACAAGTGGTAATCATGTTGTAAATGATTCGCACATGAAACACAACAAAAATACTTTTTTATGAACTCACTAAATCGTAAAATAAAGTCTAAATCTATTATATATAGTCATATTTTCAATTTACAAATATGAGGACACAATGAAATATTTATTACCATATTGGTTTTGTTACAAGATAGAAAAAGTTTTTCACCATTTTTTAATATTTAAATGGAACTTAAAATATATTGGCAGCAAATTTAGGAACCATTTGAGAATATGAGATATAATCAAATGTAAGATAGTCCAAGATAAGGATACTTGCCAGATGATCCAAACAAATATGAGATAAATGATAACAGATAATGATACACAGAATGTTAAAACAAAACTTATGAAAACCATGACTTATTGAGTCATATTTAAAATATAATATTATAAATGTGAAAGTTTGTGAAGATGGATGGATGGATGTTTGTTACTCTTTCACACCAGAACAACTGAACAGATCTGGATGAAATTTTTCACACAGATAGATTATAGTCTGAAATAGCACATAGGTTACTTTTTATTCTGGAAAAATGTATGGTTCCCATGGGATAGATTTGTTTTTGTCTAGTGAGCACTAGTTTAAAGTATAAATAGATTACAATAATATAGTTCTTACTACTGTTTGAAACAGGATAACATGATTTTGTCTCTTATTTTATGTACTGTAGGTATCTAACTACAGTAGATAAAATAACGTAAGTACTAACACTAAAGAAAATAACTAAAAATATATTTACCTGTCAGCCAATGCCTTGGCAAGCATTTCTTTCCTTTTCTTATTTTGTTCTTCCATCAACTTTTGTTGTAGCTGCAATTGTTCTAACTTAATTCGATGAGTCGCTAATTCATCTTCTGTATAATTATCTACGCACTTCACCACATCCGGAGTAACACTTGCACTGTTCTTTCTACTTGAAATGTTCAAATTACTATCTGTTAAAGTAGACTCCAAAACGTTTTCATTTGTAGATATGACATTACCATTTTCTTCATACGTTTTTGCATTGAGTACTGCCACTTCGTTATTATCTACTTGCTCATTAACATTTTCAGATGTAATAACATTATCAATTTCAGGCTGCAATGTTGGAGATTTCAAACTGAGTTTGCATTTATCAAAAGCCTTATGAAAAGAGTCTTCGGAGCCTTGCTTATTAAACAATTGATTTTTTTGTTGTAACTGTCTATTTAAAACAGGTGCAGCTCTTGAATTACCAAATAGGGTATTATATTTTTTAGGTGCTAATACCTTTTGAGGATCTGAAAATACAATTTTTAAATTGTAAATACTTATAATAATTTTTAATAGTTAATATTTTACTGAGCCTAAATAATGCAATATACGACTATACACAAAGATTAATGACACTTAAATAATGGGTTCAATATTTTTATCTTGAAATATGAAATATATTGTGCATAAATAAATGTTATCATTATTCAGCATCCTGTTAAACAAAATCTGTACTATTAGGCTTCAATTTTAGTTTTAAATAAGATAATTATCATATATTTTAATTAAAAAAAAAATCCATGTGTGTACTTATGTACATATGCACTTAAGAAGTTATACTTCTTTGACGTAATAGAACAAAAATTGCTAAAGATTTCATCCCATATGTCACAACTCTGTTTGTAAATGGAATGCAGCTAACTTCATCATGTCCTTTCAGCTAACTTCAACATGTCGCTTTCTGGCTGTCGGTGAGCGCACGCATCATAATTTTTTTATTAATATTATAAGCCTGTATTGTTCCCTAATTTTTTCCAAACATGACAAAAGAAGTATAACTTCAAAAATGTTATATAGTAATAATTAATGTACATACATAGTATTTTATATGACATCATAGGTCTTTAAGATATTGTCTAAACAAATACCATGCCATGATGTCATACCATAAACTATGAAAATTGAAATGCAATTGTATATTCATATAGCCACATTTAGAACTAAATGCAGCATATGAAATATTTTTTATATACATATACTGTAGAAGTCAATAGAAACTGTAATACCCCTGTATTATGGGTATCCTCGTTTATAACTCATTATGAATGTATTTCTAACAGATTTAAAATATCATGAAAATAAATATCGCCAGGTTATCAGTTTTTGCATAATCATAGCATAATAAGAGGCTTACAATTTAAATGGTAATAAATTTCGTTAATGTACCATTCACACTATGAGAAAATGTAATAAAAGACAATAAGTGGGAATTAAATGTACCGGTATTCGGAGTTGATTCCGATGACTTAATCCGCCTCAAATCTTCTTCACTAAATCCGGTAAACGACATGATAACTTCTCAATATTTAGAACGACTTTAAATTTAAACATTCATGTAAAAATAATTTTTAACATTAAAACACAAATAAATACTTATTTCAAACACTATTAATTGTATACGTGTTCAGAATATCGCTAGCACCATCTATTTGTTTTGGCAATTCCATTTGTCGCTGACAAGTGACAAATGACAGTTCACTTAAACCATTTGATTTCACAACTTCGTTCGTAAATCGTAACTTGACACAGATAAATGTACAGTTAGCATTATGCGGCATAATCCTAACTTTTATTTGTCATCCAAGATGCTAACTTCAAATGTTTCAAATATAATAATGCTCCACACAATCGAGCGTTTTGAAAAGTACTGCTTTGGATTCTGGCGTGATGCACGCAAGGATACCAACTAAATATAAGAAAATATAAGACGTGTCTTTTCTTCAAGGTGGCATTGATCAAAATTTTATTTACATTATTATATATTGTCATATATTTATTATATTATTTATATTTTTATTTATATTAACTGCCTCGGTGGTGTAGTGGCTAGCATGTACGGCTGCACACCCGGAGGTCCTGGGTTCGAGTCCCGGGTTGGGCCAAGATTAGTTATTGAGTCTTTCTGTATAGTAAGCCTCAGTAACAGCCCGGAGTTGGGAAGTTGGCGGTGTTTCACCCCCGTGCCTCGGAGAGCAACTTAAGCCGTCGGTCCTGCACCTTAACTCTCACTGGTCGTGTGGAGTAGTCGTCCCACCAGGGTATAAGAGTGACAAGAATAGAGAGTGCACTTGTGTCTGCGCGTACACTATAATATCTCCTGCGCAGTTGGCTAGTCTCAATGAGATTGGCCGCCGTGGCCGGAATCGGTCAGGAAAACATCATCATTATACATTATTATATATTTATTAGGTAATTATATTTTTCTTTCAAGACTAAACCTAGTGCCCTCTGCTGGTGCACTTCAAAACTAAGTCACGTTTCCATTAAGCATTAGTATATTTCGGCATTATACGCCAAAATGGGGCACCATGCTGTGTAATTGGAAAACAGAACGTAACGTTAATTTTTGACAGTACACTCGCTAGTGACACTAGATATCTGTCAACAAAAGTAAATAAAAGTTAAGTTGAAACACGTGTGATTGCAATTGTAAATATTTTAAATTGCAATATAATTAGATGCTCGTAAAGATTTTTTAATTAAATATTATAAAATGGGTATGTGTTTTTTTATTAATGTAGTATTTCAGCCATAACTTTATAGTTACTACATATTTTCTCTTTTTACTTTTTCAGATCAAATATTGAATAAAGTGCGTACTCTGGATCCTAACAACAGTGATTCAATAAAAGAAGCATTAACATTATTTTTCCAAAAATTACCTAAATATAATGATCCAATTTGCAATAAATGGCTGAGAGAGATGCGTAATATTATCGACCGGTATTGTATAATAACCTTAGTTGTTTGTAATTATACCTTAAAACTGCTTAGTGAGTTAATTTACAATAATAGAAAAAATACTTTTAACACCTCCAAGTAAATTTCTATGAAATTAATTAAATTTCTAAGAAATCTATTGTTAACTGTAACGCCGGCGTGTCCGTGGTCTTGGAGGGATGAATAGATTTCAGCGAAAATACTCATTCAAATGTTATATTTACAAATATTTTTGTTAATTAAAAAAAAAACTTTATAGGTTTCCAAAGTATTGCATGTCACACCGAATAAATGTAGAAAATTACTTCGTGGGCTTTCTCAGTTCTAACAATTACTACAGTGTTATTGAAGTAGCAAAATGTGTTAATGCATTGCAGCAGGTATGTAAAAATTATATAAATATTTTATAATACTAGAATGATATAAAGTAAATTCAATATATTGATAAAATGTTTTAAATAAAAAAATAAACATACCTACCATAAAGTAATCAATAATTTGTTATATCTTTGATGTATCAGTTGTTAATAACACCATAAAAATACAATGATTTAACACCTGGTGGTTAAATTCGAAGATATTAAGTGTTAACTAAGCCACCTGTGGCTCGGCAGTTGTTGACAAGTTAATGGTTTTGAGTGTTTTTCACATAATATTATTATTTCAAAAAATACAGCTTTTGTATTACATGTATTTTACCTTTATATAAAATTATAGGTACGTCCAACCAAAGAAAAAACTGCTACACCCAAATCAAGTTGGAGAGATCAGATGAGTGTCCTGTGTAACGCTGCACATGCACTTATTACTGCTATTTTTCCTAATGCTGTGGATATCTATAAAGATAATGCTACAGTAAGTAGTACTGAATCTTATTTTAAGATATTATAATATTAAATGAGCAATTCTTTTATTTTATATTCTTGTATTTGTATACAAGAATTAACTAGAGACTCATCCTCGTTTCTCTCGGGTTCGTCCCTAGAACTATTGTTGTTGCTTCCCCCTACAAAGTTTCATCCCTATTTTAACCACCTTAAGGGATGATTTCTGGGATAAAAACTTTCCTATGTCCGTCCCAAGGTCTGCAAATTATCTTCTTACAAAATTTCATCTAAATGGGTTCAGTAGTTTCGGAGCCTATTCGGTACAAAGAAGCCAACAAAAAAATAAATCTTTCCTCTTTATAATATTAATATAGATTATTATTACAGCTTTTTTCTATCTGCTCTAATGCTGACAATGTAATATAAAGCCATCTCATAAATTTTTATGGTACTTGCATTGTTGCCAATGGATGATAACCTACTGAACGAGCCCCTACACCGAACAAATCTCTGTAGCCCAGATACTATTATAATAAAAGTAGTAATATTTTTTACTATTTATCAACAATTTCTTTATGGTTTCTATAAATACAAAAGATATCACTGATATTGAATTATTCAACAAAAAATGTGTAGGTTTACTTGAAGTAGATTTAAATAAAATTAATGATTAATATTGAAGTACAAAGTAGAAAAAAGCTACAAGTAATTTGATTTTTCTTTACAGCCTAAAACAATGCCTGCTAAATCACCTATAACTGATTTTCTAGTAGATATAACAAAAGTGGTAAAAAATACAAAAGATAAGCAACTTGTACTGCAGATAAGGCTGAAAAATATATTTATTTTTATTCAGGCTATGTTGGTGTAAGTAAAAGATTTATTTTAATTAGTAAATATATATATATATATATATATATATATATATATATATATATATATATATATATATATATATATATATATATATATATATAATTACATTATATATTACATTTGAGTATATATTTAAAAAATCTTTTTGCTTTGTTTCAATTTGTTGTCATATTTAAATGCAAATATTAAACCTTCTTGAAGACACTCTTCAAATATAATATTTTTGACAATCCATATTGGTTCACAAGCAATATTAAAATGGTCAAAAATAATCAACAATTAAACAATAGTTTATGTTATTATAATCTAGTTATTATTTTCTAGTGAAACATATCCAGTAGCTAAACCAATACAACCCAGGAGTATCTTAGATGTTATAGTGAGAGCATTAAGTGTTACCAGTGGCTCAAATCAGGATGATAATATTGCCGCAGTTAAAATACAAGCATTAAGAACCTTAGATGCACTTATCATGTGGTAAGTTTTGAATCACATCATATTGTTTTATATTGATATATACAATATATTGCTATATATATAATACTCATCTCTAGGTTGACTCCCCGTACAAACTTTCACAACCTAAAGTGATGATTTCCACAATAAAAAATATCCTATATCCTTCCCGGGTTCTCAAACTATCTTTTTACCAAATTATGAAATTATAAATCGGTCCAATACTTTTTGAGTTTATTCATTACAAAAATACAAATCTTTCCTCTATAATATTAATAAATATGTTGGAACATTCACACACAGCACCATCTAATTCCGTGGTAAGCTACAAGACTTTTGTTATGAATACTGGATGGTTGATACACTATACATTTTTAGCTTTAAATACATACATATTATAAATATATTATTTTAGATACTGTAGATTATACAAAAAATAATACATAATTTAATTTTGTTAAATATAAATTTTATTTTCATTGACATAAAAAAAAAGTATATTTATGTGTTTGTATATAATTGACAATAAGCATAGAGAACATTTTTTTTTTCTTACAGATATGTTGTACTTATTAATTACACAATTTGACTTAAGAGTTAAACAAATTTTTAATTAAAAAAAATTGCATCCCAAGTCATTTTTATTTCTTAATCTATCAGTGATATTCATGTGGCAGTTACATATTTTCTTCTTAATTTCCAGCCTAGGATCAAATCTAATACCATTCTCACCGTTAATAATTAGATTGGTAATGCAAACATTAAGGTGGAGTACTGATAACCCAAGTGAAGGTAACAGGTAAAAAAGATATGAATACTTGCTTTTCCACTGTATATTTTTTTTAACATGATATGCACATATTATGTATTGATATAATACATTAATTATAAATGCAATATTTTGTAAGTGTGTGTTTATAAGCTCAGCCTCGCTTAGCTCGGGTATTTTTTCAGGATAAAAAGTATCCTATGTGTTATTCTGATCTATGAGCAGTATTATTGTAAAGTTTCATTAAAATCCATTTAGTGCTTTTACGTGAATGACAAACATCCATACATCTACACATCCAGACATCCATACATCCTATGAGGATTAGAACTTTCGAATTTATAATATGTATTATTATAGATTTAATGTTTTTTTAGAAAAGTCCGCACCACAGCATACAATACCCTCACAGGCTGGCTCACTACGCTACATACTCACAGAATATCTGACAATAACTCGTGGGAGGACGAACTCTCATCACATATAATATATGACATCACACCACAGAAGAAAATAGTCCAATTTACTGTAAGTACTAAGTATATTTTGTAATATTTTTATTTATCTATCTAGAGACACCTAACAATATAAATAAGTCGGTCAGTGTTTTGGGATACCTGGATTGAAGTTACTGTTGCTGTCCATGCTCGACTTACATTGATAGATTTCGGTGTCTATGGCTCACATAAACATAGAGCAACATACATTATACATGTTGAAGCTCATGGAAGAAAGGCCTACACAGAGTTCACACGATTTTTTTGTAAGTCGCACTATTTCTGTAGCCACCTATTCACTCTTGCCTTGAAGACACCCATATTGTAATCGGACGGAAACACTGACGCAGGCAGGTTGTTCCAATCCTTAGCCGTACGTAATTTCTTACAACATACACTCCTCAACACTTATGATCGCCTGGTACTTGTGATGATGTCACATTATGGGCTGCTCTTGGCTCATAATACCTTGTGAGAATAATTTTCACGAGTACTCAGAGACCTCAAAGAGTGTCCACTATATACTTGACGACACGTTTGGCTCAGTTTATAGTGACTCTACTTGCTGTGCCAGAGGTCGCGGGTTTGAGTCCCGCTGGGGACATTCATTTGTGTGATGAGCACGAATGTTTGTACTCCAGTCATAGGTATTTATAATATGTATGGTTTAAAGTTAGCCCTGTGTTATGGATACCAGATAGCTGATACACTACATATATATAATGAATGTATCAACCATTTGGTATCCATAACACAGGCCTCATAGCATTCCATGGAACTAGAAGGTGCAGTAAGTTAATGTCCCAACATATTTATTTATATACATATATAATATCATAATAGTGCATACGAACTACACTTTAACACTTATGCTCGTTTGGTACTTGTGATGACGTCACAAGGGCTGCTTCTAGTAAACAATAAAAAGTGTCGTGACGGTCGAAATATTACATTTGTTTCTTTCTAGCTCTCATTCGCCAAGTGTGTCGACTATAATGTGCGATATAGAACTTCGTTTCTATAATAATACAAGCGTATTACCCTCGTTTACAAACCATATTTAAGATGTCAAGAATTTAGTGGAACTGCGTTAAATATATATTTTATTTTACAGATGGGCCCACAACCAACAAAAAATTTAAGCAAGAAAGCTAAGAGGAAACTTGCTAACACTCAACTTCAAGAAAGCACTATATCAGCTCATATGCCTGGGGAGAAGAATAAAATTTCTTTGTAAGACAATAATTTTATTATATCTTACAATTACAATGAATACTTTGTTAGATTTACGCGAATATTTGATAATATTTTAAATATGTAGAAGTATAATTTCAGATTTTTTCGGATTTATTTTGATTTTTAGTTCTGGACGTTTTCCGCGGTAATCTTTCTTAGAAAAATTCTTAGAAACCTATACATAAAATATTATACAGCTGAAGATGCTGTTTTCTTTTTTGTTTGAACACAGTAATCTCTAGTACTGCCGGCAAGATTTGAACATTTAATAATATAGATGTTATAGACTATTTATTGGGAAATGTTATCAGGCTATAAGTCATCTTCAGGCTACGACCCTTAAGGCCGCGTTGACACGATCAAAGTCTACTCTTTCCGAACTGGTAGTAAACTCATGACGTTCAGTAAAAAAATGTAATAATTTAATGCTGAATAAAATATTTTTAATTTGAACTTAACTACTACTAACTTAAACTTACTACGACTACTTACTAGTCGTTAAGTCGTTAGTCAAAGTGGCTACTTTGATCGTGTAAACGAGCAATTAAAGCGCATTTTGACATCGGCGTCAAAAGGCGTCAAAGCAGACATTGAGCGTGTCAACGCGGCTTTAGGAGCGTATTCATATTAGTGATAAACATATATTTGCTTAGCCGGATACCGGATATCCGGCGAGCTGCAAGGCCGGATAGCGGGTTATCCGGCGGCAGGATATTTAGCCTGTTGTCACGTGATGTGTTACGACAAGCGCATACGTCAACGGAAAATTTTGGTAATATTCGGGTGTCATCGTGACTAGTGATTAGCGAAAGTGCAAGTGAAAGAAATTGCTTACTTGCTCATTCACTTTGCGACCTATATAGTTAATGTACTGTTAACTCGAAGCAGTACCCACATTTGTCAAAGTGTGCCACAGGGCAACTTTCAGCATTTTGCTGCCTTTACAAGACATTTTTGTATTATTTTTCTCCCAGATAATTTTTACCCATTGTTTATTATATCACTACATATTATAAAACAAAGTCCTTCGCCGCGTCTGTCTGTCTGTTCGCGATAAACTCAAAAACTACTGCACCGCTTTTCAATATGTTTTCACTAATGGATAGAATTGTTCTCGAGGAAGGTTGTAGTATATAATTTGTTAAGTTTTTGTATACATGTCATGTCACATGATGCGATGGCATAAGTCTATCTCTTAAGGATAACATACTATATCCAATTTAAAACCTAGGGACGAACCCGAGCGAAGCGAGGGTGAGTCGCTAGTATTATTAAAAATAGTAGTTTTTAAATATCCGGTATCCGGTCAGGTACTGCGTTACTATCCGTTATCCGGCTTAATACTGCGTTACTATCCGATAACCGGGTTTACAAAATAAGGCCGGATAGACCAGATAGTTACCGAATATCCGTTTCATCTTGTTTAAAATTGTTATTTCTTTTAGTTCTGAAGAAGTGAACAACGAAGTTGCAATGGCGGCGTTAGAATGCGCTGAGGCGTTCCTCACTGTTTGTGGTAGATTTTTGAAACCCGCTACACATAAGGTACACTATATTATGTTGGGTGGAGCGAAACATTTTTTTTTCTTAGCTTGGGGTATAAATTTGTAGGTTATAAAAAATATTTTTTACTCAACATTTTGAGGTGGCCTACTAATTCTTAAAATAAATAATTAATTTAAATTTTTCTTTCGAATATTTTTTTTTTCGCGTTATCATCTTTGAAAACATTCAAGATTTGACGACTCTCTACTCTACTACTACTGAACTTTCACTGCAAAAAAAAAAATTTTTCGCTTCACCATGTTATATGTATTAAATTGATAAGTATATAGTTAATATGTCTACTACATAATATAATCATAACATAATACATAATATAATAGGTAAAAATAGAAAATATTAAATTCGAGTGTATTTTTAAACTTTTTTTTGTCCATAGATTTTAATGAACAATCTCATGTACATTACAAGAAAAGACTAACTCTCTTAATGGTGAAATATTTTTCTACTACATTTTACTTTTAAATTGTTTTAAGCATATATTAGATTGAATGAAATATTTGAAGAAGAAGTGAATATATTGCCATTATTTTTAATACATTATTTGAGTATAAATATAGACAAGTTTCAATACATTCAGTTGTATAGCAGTAGTTGCCACAATACAGGTCAGAAATGTCTGCATTCTATGTAGTTGTTTGTATGATTGTTACTAAATAACTTATAAACCATACACAAATAAATCATTTTTTTGTTAATCCTATACCTTAAGACCAAAAACTAAAAAAATAAAGTAAAAAATCACTGAACGGGGATTTTCATTCACTATAACATAGCTAATGAGATATTTTCGAAGTCGGTGCTAGACGAAGCAAAGCAATACAAATCTATTTCGATACGTATAAACTATAAATACATTACAAATGTATAATATTTTAACTATAATTAATTTTCATACCATATCATATTTACCTATTAGATGATATCTTAAAGCATTATCGGCAACCTCCCTTTTGGAAGTTGGTTAAAAATGACATTATAAACAAGTGTTTCATACATGTTTATTATTTCAGCTTTTCCAAGAACACGTAATTCGTGAATGTTTCAAACACGCGTGCTATGAAGAAGACTACGTTATATGTTTATTACATGTGCTGGAAGCTTCCAGAAAATCTACACCGAATTCCACTCCTGCGCCCACACAATACTGCCTTCAACTATATAGTACGTTAGTGAATATGCAGAATAGTGAGGTAAGAATGATTGAATGTTTTACTTAACCCCCGACGCAAAAACGACAGGGTGTTATAAGTTGAACCTGTCTGTGTGTGTGTCTGTCTGTGGCATCGTCGCTCCCGAACGGATGAACCGATTTTGATTTTGTTTTTTTTTGTTTGTTTGTTTGAAAGGTAAATTAGTCGGGAGTGTTCTTAGCTATGTTTGATGAAAATCGGTCCATGATGGTCGGGGGATTTTAAAACTTTTAATTTATTAATTAAACTAATAAAGTTTGTTGTAATATTCGGTAACTCGTCCATCTTGACTGTTTTCCCGCCACTTTATGTGACGTTATTTTAAACTAGCGATTCACTTAGCTTCGCTCAGGTTCGTCCCTAATAGAATAGATAGACTATATATTTTTATAGACATAGGTATGATGACTTGTTGTGGGTTGTATTATAACGTGTTTTCCCGTGGGGATGAGATAATCTATTGCGGTAAAAAGTAGCCTATGTCACTCTCTAGCAATCCAACATCGCCACACAAAATCTCGCCAATCCGTCACTATGTTTCGACATGAAAGAAGAACGTTTAATCTTCTTTTCACATTTCACACATTTTCACATTTATAATATTAAAGTAGGGATATTAAAAGGCAATAAAGGGAAATCTAAACTAGAAAATCTGAGAAAGTATTAAGAAAATTATGAACGATGTTTCTCAAAAGTTATCTAGAGACAAATCCCTAGATAATGAAGAAGTTTCTAATTTTTTTTAATGTTTTAGTTAGAAAAAATTAAGTAAAATATAACAAAAATATTAAAGAATTCTTAAAACATCTTAACAAATGACAAAATATTGAAAATTTTGAGTTGCGCTTGCAAGAATAATTTCGTGACGTCACACGACCTGAACTACCGAAATTGAAATTATTTTTTCAGTAATTTATTGATATATTTAAATAAATCATTGATTTATTAGTTTTAATCTATATTATAATTCTATAGTGTTAAATGTAATATTAACAGCTTCATGAAACTTCTCTATTGTATAATATTTATATCATAACTTTCAGATATCAAAATTCTGTTCTCAAGCTTTGTTAAATATTCGACTTCACCTGCATTGTTCGCCTCCGTCCATTAATTTTGCTATGGAATTACCTCACGAAGTTGAAAAACCGGAAAATAAAAGGAAAAAAGTGTCCGAAAAGAATAGAGCTGTTCTAGAATCTTTACTGGGAAAAGAGAAGTAAGTTGAAGCGCATACATTTAAAATTAATAAATTATTATTCATATTTTTTGATGTGAAACTTCTTTAGAATCATTGTTATTTGAATCTCGATGAAACGGAAATGCGACACTAAAAAGAAACAAACAAATAAATATATAGGATTAAGCTGGCGAGAGAATGAGATAGAATACATTGCCATGTTGCCATGGTAACCGTTGTTATTGTCTGACAAATGTTATATAATATTATATTCTTTCCATATATGATATTCTATAAATGTATAATTGTAATATGCCTAATATGCCTTATTCAATTACTGATTGGTTTTAATTTAATTACGATATTTGCCAAAGAAGTTTTACTTCAACCGCGCGTAAAGGTTATACGCACCCATCTTTTTGTATTAATTGAAAATTTAAAACAATTCTAAATTAGTTTTATATTAGTTCATACAGTAGGTGATTGCATTTGATCTTTAAGGACATGCTGCTAGAATCTTTAAATATGTTTTTATGGTGAACACTTTAAAAATTAAAGCGATGGCGATACAGTCATTTCGTGAATACAGCAAAATGAATGTATAAAAACTATTTAATATTTTTATTTTTTATTTAAAAACCTTGTGTGCGTATGTTCAAAGATTTGTACGAATCGGTTTGGCAGTTGCGGTTAAATCAAAAATATTAAAACATTTTCAAAACTTTTACATTTATTGTGTCTTCATCATGTAATAAGTTGTACGAATTTTCACTATATTTTTTTTTTCAAATATCTAATAGAACAAAATCTTTTCACAGAGTGCCTTCAGAAGAGATTGTAGAAGAAATAATAACTATAGCAGACGAACCGTCAAATAAAAAACCACGTATGGAAGACGATAAAATTAGCGTCAGCAGTGATGAAGTCGAAGATTCTGTAGAAATAAGTGATGATTCGCAAGACAATATGGTCATTGAGGAAGTTATTGAACTCGTAGAAGCCACTAAAGAAAACGAACCGACACTACAAAATAACGAATCACAAATGCATACCCAAAACGAAGTCAATAGTGAAAAGCTTTTAACTCAAGTTGAAGATAATAAAGAACAAACAGATAATTTAAGTCAGGACAGTAACGCAGATATTGTATTAACTCAGACTGAAAATATAACTGAAGTTGATATAGAAATAAATAAAATCTCCATTCACGAAGCGCAAACTCAATTTCTATTAAATGCTTCGAGTGGAATAGAAGACAATGCATTTGTTTATTCAGTAGAAGTCGGTTGCGATTTAGATACTTCAAAGTTAGGAACGGAAAACGTTATTTTAGAGAAAAGTAATACCGAAAATCTACCTAGCACAAACGAAAGTGACGATGTTCAAATCAGTTGTGGACAAATATTGCAAAACTCCCAAGATATAGATGAAAAGAAATCTGATACTAGTGATAAAGTTTCTGAAACTGAGGATGTACCTAAAACTAATGGCAATGTGCAAGAAGAAAATGTACAAAATGGCGATATTACTAAAGACGATGTGGATTCGGAAAATGTTGGAAGTAAAATTGTGAAAAATAACATTTCTGTGGAAGATATGCTCGCTGATTTTGTAGATGAAGTCAATGAAGAGGTTGCGGAAACTTAATTTAGTTTGCATTTCAAGCAGTATTTCATTGTGTCAATATATACATTTCAATTATTATAATGAATAAAGGGGGCTACACACGTAACTGCTCATATTTCTTTATCTGTATAGACATTTCCTAAATGTGAGAGCCTGCACTTGCACATAATTCTTATTTTATTTAAATTTCTTTAATATGTTTAGAAAATGTTAAATTTTACTGGCATATTTTAAAATTTACATTTTAAAATTAGAAATTTACGTTCTTATGGGCCTTAGCTCTGCCCATTGAAAAGAAATGAATTGTTACGTGTGGTAGTCACCATATTACGTAAAATAGGTCTTTCTTTGTTGAATATGATAAACAATTATTTCTAAATAATCAGCTTTTTTAAACGGAACTTACTTTATGTAATTGATTAAACTTGCAATAAAAGCATTTATAACATTATTTGTTTTTCTTATACCCAAAAGTTAAATCGTGTTTCTTTGTATAGTTTGTGATGAAGTATCAAAGAGATCATAGTAATGGTGTGGCCACCAATTTTTTTCCTATTCTTTAGTTACATAATATTATAGTATTAAATGATCTGCGATAATATGAAGTGCCACTCTCACTTTTTTTTATTTTTCGTAATTTCAATTTCGGCCATGTAGCCCCAATAGTTTAGAAAAATTGCTGTAAAATTCTAACAGTTTATGTTCGAAAATGACAATTGAAATGCATTTAAGTAGAGATGTGCCGACTATGACTTTTGCCGACTAGCCCTCTAGTCGGTTGGAAAAAGGCCGACCAGTCGGTCGGCCTAGCCGATCATTGCTTTCCACGATGTTTGTCGCGCTTCGCATCTCTTACACGCGTCGCGCGTGCGGTCATGCACGAACTTGTGTTTACTTTGCTTTTGATATTTGTGTTTTATTTAAGTAAAACAGTCAGTGAGTTGTATAGCTTAGACAGTTTGTATTAGTAAAAGTACATAATTGAAATATTTTAATTTTTGGTTCCCGACGTTACAAATACTTTACAGCAATTATGGTCACGGAATAGACTAAGATTTTAGACGTCTCAAAGGCTAGTCGATTAGTCGCCTTTACCGACTAGTCGGCCACTAGTCGGTACATCTCTACATTTAAGCAAAAACTATTTAAATTTTGTAAGCGAAAAAAAAACTATGAAAGTTTAAAAAAAAATATTTATTTTATGTCTACTTATGTAACACAGGTCATCTCAGAACTTCCTTTAAAAAGAAATGTTTAAGACTATAATCATCCCAGGTGTATAAATGAATACTTGAATATTATCATATTATGGCATAATAGAAAATTTAAGAAAGCCTGTACGTGAAGTTGTGCTTGGAATATCAATGTTATATTGAGGTATGATTTTTTTATTTCCTTGCACTTTGGATTTTTCAGTCAATTTCAAATTCAGTCTTTGTCTTTTTATAGCAACTGGCCGACACACGTCACTATGTACGTTCTTTTAAGTCGACAAGCAAATGTTAGTAAACAATCGGGGTCTCATACGAATTTTAGGCATTGTACCTATTTTATGGTATAGCATTTACTTTTCCATGTCATTTGGAAGCTAAAATTTCTTTTTAAATTAGTCGATAAGTAATAATAAAGTTATTATTATAATAACCTGTTTACTGTCTTATTTATGGAGTGGCTAGCATGTACGTCTGCACATCCGGAGGTCCTGGGTTCGAGTCCCGGGTCGGGCCAAGTTTAGTTATTCAATATCTAATCTTAATATAGTCCCAGTAACATTTCGAAGTTGGGAAGCTGATTATGTTTTATTCCCGTGGTTGATTAGTTTCAAAGATTACCTCCTACATCCAATCTTACAAACTCTACCTCCTTATAATGTTAGTATAGACTATAGATAAACACAATGTTGTTAAATGTAAGGTGGGAAAAGTGCTAGTGATCCGACTGGTGACTGTGAGTTGTTCTGAATCTGCTTCTGTTTTAGGCATTTCTCTACAGTTTTATAAATTACAAGCATTTCCCGCGGCTCCGCCCGAACCAAAACCAAATTCTCAGGTTTTACATAGTAGTAAGTATACTCTTACATTACAGTTTTTGTATTTTTCTCAGAAATGAGACATTTTCCCGCGGTAAAAAGTATCCTATATGTTGACCCGGATAACCAGCTATCACCATACCAAATTTCACCAAAATCCCTCCAGTGGTTTTTCTGTGATGCGGTAACATACAAACAGACAAAAATTCTAAAAACTATAAATTGGCCTCTGTATCAATAATAATTTTTATTTCAATAAGATTTTCAAAAAATATTTAATGTACAGATTCAGCTTAGTTACAATTTTATTATATGTATAGCTAGGTTTATCGAGAAGTGACGTCACGTACATTTGAATGACAGCTTCATTAGTATTTAATCAAAAAGTTTAAAATTGTTTTAAAAACGCATTTCCACGAAAAATTCAATTATTTTTGTCGTCAATATACGTTTTTTTGTAATAATTCCGTTATTTACGTTTGTTTATGAATTAACAACACTTCTAAATGTTTGTTAACATCCCTGTTAATAAACTGATAACCATGGATGACAAATAAAACTGATAACATTAACACAAGTTGATATTTCAAATTTAATTGACATTTAAAATTGTACTGTGTTTGTAAACATAGCGTGGATGCGAATAATATATTTTTATTAAAAATGGTAATTTCTATAGGTTTCGAAGGAAGTGCGAATAAGCTTGGAGTAGGTATAGTAAAAGACGGAGAAATACTTGCAAATTGCAGAAGAACTTATATTACTCCACCGGGTGAAGGTTAGGTTCTTATAAATACATGCTTTTATATAATTTTAAAAATAGATAACATAATAAGAAAATATGCGTGATACGTGGGACAAACGTAAATTAATTTGAGATTTTATTGTATATTATAGGATTTCTACCAAGAGAAACGGCAGAACATCATCAACAAAATATCCATGAAGTGCTTCAAGAAGCACTTGATCAATCTGGAATAAAACCTCAAGACATAGACGTGGTCTGCTACACTAAAGGTCCAGGAATGGGGGCTCCTTTAATGGTGTGCGCTATTGTAGCAAGAACTTGTGCTAAAATATGGAAGAAACCTATACTAGGAGTCAATCATTGTATCGGCCGTATCCTTTTCACATATGCATCCAAATGTTTAATTTCAGAATATTGTGAGTAAATTATAAGTGCTTATAAAAAGTATACAAATCAATGGGCATTGTCAATCTAAAGCTCACAATATATATTTCCTTATAAACTAAAACAGATATAGAAATGGGTAGATTGATCACTAAAGCAAATAATCCCACAGTTTTATATGTGAGTGGAGGGAATACCCAAATCATTGCTTATTCCAGACAAAGGTACAGGATATTTGGAGAAACTATTGATATTGCTGTTGGCAACTGTTTAGACAGGTAAACATTAAAGTAATTATAACTATTAACATATTTTATTTAAGATTGTTAAGCCACAGTAATATTATAAATGTGAAAGTGTGTTTGTTTGTTTGTCCTTCTTTCACATCGAAACCGAGTGACAGATTGGTGTGATTTTTCTATGGAGATAGTTGGAAGGTTGGAGAGTGACATAGGCTTCTTTATACTGCAGGAGATTACCTCAATCCTATAGAGAAACATGCTATAATACCACCCACAACAACTCATTATACGTATGTATGTATGTATAGCTTATTTACGCTATACCATATTAACTGTTAAAATGTACCTAGAGATGAACCTGACCGAAGCGAGGGTGTGTTGCTAGTATTATATTTTTCTTACATTGTATGTGTGTCCTTTATCAATATTCACTAAAGATAATAAAAATGTTGGTATTAATAATAAATACATGTAATTATTTCATAACAGAATGATCACTTTTTTAGATTTGCAAGGGTATTAAAATTATCAAATGCACCCAGTCCAGGATATAACATTGAGCAGATGGCTAAAAAAGGAAAAAAATATGTACACTTACCATATGCTGTTAAAGGTATTGTTAATATCTGTTTTAAAATAATGTGTTTTTATTATTAATGTATTAAAATAATAAGCATAAAAAATGTGCTAAAATACATATTATCTATACATATATAATAAAATTCTAACTAAGTCGAATCTGTACATTAAATATTTTTTGGAAAATCTGATTGAAATAGTCATTATTATCGATAGAGGCCAAATCTATAGTTTTTAGAATTTTTGTCTGTCTGTCACAGATCACAGATAACATTCAATTCACAGAAAAACCACTGGAGAGATTTTGATGAAATTAGGTATGATGATAGCTGGTTATCCAGGTCAACATATAGGATACTTTTTATCGCGGAAAAATATCTCATTTCTGTGAAAAAATACAAAAACTGCATTGTAAGAGTATACTAATATGTAAAACCTAAGAATTTGGTTTTTGGTCATCTGAACGCAGGCGGAGCCGCGGGCAATGCTAGTATTTAATATAAAAAACTAAGTATCTTCTTTATGTTTCAAATGTTAGTGAGAATCAACCCTAAGTTTCTTTATTTTTCATATACTACACACATTTTACAAAACAAAATAATAATGTATATAACCATGTCATAATAATGTATTTATAATATTGTTTTGTGTAAATGTTAACACTATTTATCTAGGAATGGATGTCAGTTTTTCTGGGATCCTGTCATTTATGGAGGACAGAATAGATGCGCTATTAAAGGATTACACACCAGAAGACCTTTGTTATTCTTTACAAGAAACAGTGTTTGCTATGCTCGTGGAAATTACTGAGAGGGCCATGGCTCACTGTGAGTCAGATGAGGTATTAACTTATTTAAAATGTTAGATAATTAATATTTTTACCTTGCCTTTAGATTTATTTAAAATCTCTTAATATTATTTTAAGTAAAGTTTGCCTCAGCCCCTTACTATGTTATATGCATAGTTCTGCCCCGGATCCTGATGAGGACTTTTTTCTTTTCATTTGTGCTATCTACTAGTTAATTATATTAAAATAATTTAGCTGTTCTTCCTCTATCTTTGGCTTTCTCCTTTCTTAAATAAAAAGTAGGATAATAATATATTTCCCTAAACCCTCTATTTACCAATAAAAGTTCCATTAAAATCAGTTTAACTTTCCCCAAGTTAAAAATATTTTTAACAAAAACAAAAGCATTTTTTTTTTCAAAAGTTTATGGGGTTCAGTATAGTGTACTTTATTGCTTTGTCTTTCTTTGGTGGATGATTTATTATCATTTTTGCTCAATTTCTTTAACAATTTTAGATTTGATTTTATAATATATTTAAGCTTAAATATCAGAATATCTTGATTTTTACTAATTAAACACCTTATCCATTCTTAGGTGTTAATAGTGGGTGGAGTTGGATGCAATGAACGCCTACAAGAAATGATGGGTGTGATGTGTTCAGAGCGGGGAGCTAAAATATTTGCAACAGATGAGCGGTTTTGTATAGATAATGGGGTTATGATAGCTTATGCCGGTGCTTTGGCATATGCAGCGGGTACTCGCATGGATTTCAATGATTCCACTATCACACAGCGATACAGAACTGATGATGTCTTAGTTACTTGGAGAGATGATTAAATAAATTATTTTGAATTCATTTTTTTATTTTATTTCTAGTACCCATAACCTGAGTGTATTTCTATGAGACTTACAACCTCCACATGTATCTCTTCTTTGGTCTAGTGGCTAGCATAGATGACGACATATCGAGAGATCCTGAGTTCAAATTGTGGGTCAGACCAAAATCATTATTAGAATTTTCTGTCAAAAAACTCAGTAGAAACCCGAAAGTTGATATATTTACACGCCCGTGCCTCAGAGTTAAGCTATCGGTCCTATTACTGAACTCTCACCGGTCGTGTCGAATTGTCACTGTAATATGAAATTTATAAGGAATAGAAAGTGCACTTGTGTCTTTGCACAAACTTATGCACTATAATACGTACCACACAGTTGGTAAAATCGAAATCGGTTAGGAGGATATTATATAACCTTAACTTTGTATAGATGAGAGATTTAACTGCCTCGGTGGTGTAGTGGCTAGCATGTATAGCTGCACACCCGGAGGTCCTGGGTTCGAGTCCCGGGTCGGGCCAAGTTTAGTTATTGAATCTTTCTGTATAGTAAGCCTCAGTAAGAGACCGAAGATGGGAAGTTGGCGGTGTTGCACGCCCGCGCCTCGGAGAGCACGTAAAGCCGTCGGTGCTGCGCCTTAACACTCACTGGTCATGTCGTGCAGTCGTCCCACCGGAGTATGAGAGTGACAGGAATAGAGTGCACTTGTGTCTGAGCGTACACTTGTGCACTATAATATCTCCTGCGCAGTTGGCTAGTCTCAATGAGATTGGCCGCCGTGGCCGGAATCGGTCAGGAGAACATCATCATAGATGAGCAAAGAATAAACTCAAACTGTGTTAATCAATTAACAAGAAACTAGGTCCCAAATAAGAGTAAAAATTGAAAATTTACAACAGTTTTAAACAAAGTTTAGTATTAATAACTAGCTGGCTTTGAGAATAGGGCGTAAACTATTTTTCATAACCCTGAGTGATAAGGGCGGAAATTTTTTTTTGGACAAATTTTTTTATTTTAATTTTTTTATGATTTGGCGTTAAAAATACATATAAACCTAAACTTTCACTAGATACAAACCCGAGGGGAGCGAGGGTGAGTCGCTAGTAAATGTATAAAAAAAAAGGACAATTCATACTAAATCAACCAATATAATATTTGTTCAAAACAAAAACTCACTTTAAACACAGGGATCATACATGCAACAAATAACATATACAAAAATAATAAAACATTATTGCTGTTTCTGTGAATAAAATTAAATATTCATATTACATGGAATTAATTATGTAAAACTTAACAATTAATTACTTATAATAAATGCATATTATATATTCTGTAAAGAAATTTATATATTCTGTAATCAGTTATTCACATTTTAAAAATGACTGAGTAATAATGAGTTTATTATTTTCGAAATGAACATAAAAATGTTGTATCTACAAATAAACAGTCTATACACTATGTAATAATGAAAACTATGTTTTACCACATTTAGCATTTATATAAGTGCATTGTTTCAGTACAACCTACAAAACCACAAGTTGATGATATATTTTGGTTTTAGGAAGTTTTAAAGGTATGTAATGTTTGGCACTAAAATTAGTGTTAGGTTTTTTTAAAGAAAACAATTTGCTAGATCTTACAAGAAAGTTATATAAATATATTTACAATATAGTATTGCCAAATTTCATAGATATTGCAAATTATTTGCATTATTATACAGAATAATCATTTTTCCAAACATTATTAAATATTAAAAGAGGATTAATTTTATATTGTAACACCAAAGAATTATAAATCATATTATTATGTCAGTTTTCTACAAATTAAAAACTGGTTTAGTATTTTTTTCAGTATTATAAAATTTAAAACTAAACTGAGTTCAATATACCATCAAATTTCACCATTATAAACCTTTGTACTACACTTGAATATTAAGTTCTCTCACAAACAAAACAGTCCATTTAATTTCATAAACTATTATTACCATGTAACCCTGTGTACATGATTATCCAAGTTACCTGCAATTAATAAATATTTGTTTTAAATATCAGCAATAAACAAAATAAAAATGGGTCTAACTCCTTAAAAACAATTTACATCTAAATCATTTAATGAAATTGGTATAATTCATAGAAGTATTAAATGTTATTAACTTGGTTAGAAAAGCTATGTTTATGTTAATTATTACTTAAAGAGTCCAAGAGTTATTACCAAAAAACCAGCAAAGGATGTCATAAAGCCTTCTTTAGTAATTTCCCACATGCCACCATATTCTTCTTCATCCACGTTTTGGAAATTGCTTACATAAAAATAAATCACTGCTGCATTCACAATCACAAATCTGAAAAATTAAGTTTGTGATTTAATAGGAATTATAACTTAATAAGTCATTTTAGTAATTAAAAAAGGCACAATGTAACTTAATAATACAATACTGTAACTATGCTAGAGAGAAAATATTGAAATCTTACAGGAATAGTCCCAAAAATCCTTTTAATGGCAATACACCCCAACAAAGCCCCAAAACAATACCGATCGCTTGCCGCATCCAATAAATTACATCCAGAAACTCTTCCTACAAACAAAAATAATATTAATTATGCTTTTAATTGAATACATTTACAAGTCTCGTGATAATTTTAACTAACCTTGTCAGGCCATTCAGTGTTTGCACAAAATGCTTTTTTCCAAACACTTTCTGATACTTTAGCCTTATTAACGCTATCTGAGGATTTGTTTTTACTCGACATGTTAATAAATTGTATTTTATCTTATTATTTCTTAAAATTTCATTTATAAAAGTAATCAATAAATAATGAATTCGATACCATGAAAACTTACACGTCACGTCACTGTCACTTAAAATAATAATGTCAATGTCAAGTATATTTCCGGAAATAATGTTGCCAAAAGCAATTAAATATATATAAAATTACACAAAATAAAAAACCCGATTCCTGCGTAAAAAACGAATTAAAGAGATGAAAACGAAAAAGTTGACAAAGGAACATAGTATTATGCAGTCGGAGACATATATATGTATATGTTTTATAATAGCTGCGTGTATGTATGTCTCCGACTGCATAATACTAATTACTATGTTCCTTTGTAAAATCCTTTATTTTGATACCCTACTCCGTATGTTTTGAGGTAAAAAGTTTTCAAGATATAATATAGCTCCAAACATCGGTCATTTTAATTTTTATAATTTTTTTATACTCATTATCACTCTCACAATTAATTAAGACGAACCTAACGACACCTCTCAGGTAAAATCCATCAAGACGGTTGCGCTACAAATAAATATACATACATACTTGAAAAACATAACCCTCCTTCTGGTGCAGTTGGGTAAAAATTAAACGCGCGTTGTACAATATTATTGCTTCTATTTATAGCTTTCGTTAGTAGCTACGATAGTTATAAGTATCAAAGATCAACAATTCAGCCTAAAAATATAATTGGAAGTCAGCATTTCCTAAAATAGGTACGCAGTTTCTATAAATTCCTACAATTTATACTACTTAATAGCAACAGTACTAATTATTTATCATGTATACTTTCTTCTATACGTTAAATTGTCTTTATATTGTAGAGCTGCATATTTACGTATCCTGGTATAACTTTTTATTAGGAACTCCGCTAGCGTGGTAGATACCTCGATAAAATATTATTAAGTGTTGTCCCATTAAATGAGCTCCACCTCCATTTAAAATTACACTCAAATTCGTTGAGTCGCCATCACGTCAAGACATACATTCATATATTATTTACGATTTTTTTGCATTTCTAAATATGTATTAATTTGCTACATAAATGGTGGTGACAAAAAATAGGAAAATAAAATATCCACAAGTTATTAAATAATGAAATATATTCAGTAAAAAAAGCTTATACTTAAAAAATAACTTTTAGAAATTAATTAAAAATACTAGTAGATCTAATTATACAATAATAACACCAACATTTCTAGCATTCTTGTACAATTAGAAAAAGAGTAACAAATAATACATTAGTAAAAAAAAACGGTTAAAAATGATTGTAAAAAAATGCAGCATTAATCATTAAATTAAAATCATTTAAATTACAAGGTGGGCGCAACCCTATTTCTAAGTCTTTGTAATCTTTCATTTTCCATATCCTTAGTGATGTCCCAGCACTCCTTGTCTAAGGTGGCGTGTCCGCGGGACAGGCTGACGAGGCGCGCCAGCACCAACAGCCGGTGCAGGTCGTCCGCCGTCACGGGACTGTCGTTGTCCGAATTGTTTCGCATTTCTATAAAATCGTCTTCTACAAACTGAAAAATTAGAACATCACTACTATTAGAATGTATGTGTGTGTGTGTATGTGCGTGTATTTGTGTGTGTGTGTGTAATAATAATATAATATATAGACTCAAACTACCTAGAAATACAAGTAGGTTTTTGTTACTAGTAAAATTTCTGTCAAAAGGCGGCGCTGATTATCAGCGAAACGATGAATACATATTATAATATTACATATAAAGAAAATTCGAAGTTTTGTATCAGGACGCAAAAGACAACTATTATTATATACATAATTTGACAGCTTTAAACAATATAATTTGGATATTGCTAAATAGTAAATACCTGTAAATCTTCACTTATAGTGTATTTAACCAGCTTCAAGTTTGTCAGATAAGTTCTTATTGCAGTCATTATTTCTTCCTTTAAATAATATGTAGCTGCTTCAACTATGGCATCAAATATTTCCAGCGATGATTCTTCAGGCCTTAAGGAAATGTGGTAGTCACTCTGAAAATTACACCGTTAATATACTGGTGGTGGTTATAGAAACCCTCATATAGGATGATATTTTCTTTCTTTTCGAGAACACATTTGGCTCCGTTTGTCTTGCTTGTTTGACATTACTAGTTGTGCCAGCGGTCGCGGATTCGAGTCCCGCTGGGGGCATTCATTTGTGTGATGAGCATGAATGGTTGTACTCCAGTCATGGGTGTTTATACGTATTTATAATTATGTATGTATTATATGTATAGTGAGTGTATCAACTATACTGCGTCGGTGGTGTTAATGTAAATAATTTTACAAAGAAAATTATATCTATAAAATCAGTATAAAGTTTCTACATGCTAATCACATGTACCATAATACTAACGGGCAACAAAGACTTTCCTTCCGACAGTATCAGAACAGATATATCTGTATCAAACTCCATTTTGTAATATTTAAAATCATATTCCACTCGCTGTGTATTGATCAAATGGCCCAATGCTGATATATTGTTGACTCCAGTCGCGTCCAACCGTCCTTGTTCCATTTTTGTCTCATCTAAAACCAGGTGAGTGTGTTTGGTTAGTTGAAGAATGCCACTTGTTAGTCGATTACAATCATAGTCTTTTCTGGAAAAGAAAAAAAATATGTATTTATTATCTATGTTTATATATTAAAATTTGATTAATCTTTGTAATTACTAAAAATATGTTTGATTTTTTCCCCCTTTAAATTACAAATACTTTTTTAAATTATTTTTTTACTTCTTACTACATTGTTTTGTATCTATAAAAGGGTAAATATAAAAATATATAGCTTTTTTAATTCAATAAATGTTTCTTATAGAATATTACACGAGAGTGCAAAAGTGTATTGCAATATTAGTTAAAATGTAGTTCAGGGTTGCCAGTAGAATAACATAATAACTTACTTAGGCAATAATGTCATGGTATTCATGTTTTCAATGGTTAGTGGCAAATAATAACTCTTCGTCACAAATTGCTTGATGATGTCATACAATTGCTTTGCATAGTTGGGATACTTCTTTGTGGGTAGATTTGAAATGTTCAAACAGAACTGACCAAGAGTGATTGTTTCTTGGCGTAGATAGCTGAAAATATACTTGATTAGTAAATTTTTTCTTGAAGAGACAAAAATTATATATAATAGGCCTTGCAGTTGTTAGCTTGGATGCGACACTAACACAGAATATAAGCATAATGTATTCTTTCCCTAATAGGTGGTTACATTACCGTCGAGTTCTATAGGCTATATTTTATTCTAACAAAAATATGTCTACTATCAGAAATTACAACATTAACTGAAGTCGAAAAGAAGGTGGTAAGTGTATAATGTATGGAAAAAGACATTTAGGAACACAGTTGAGTCAAGTAAAGAGACAATAAGAATGAATGAATATATTTGAATACTTACACACAAGCTATAAGGTGACATATCAAATATTCAGCAGCTAATTTGTCTCCCAATAACAATTCACTTAAAGCTTTAAGCAAGTGCTCAATTGCTATTTTGGCGTCTTTAAGTGCAGCCTCTGAAACCAAACATTTTGTTGATATATATATAATATTATTCCCAAGGAGGGTTGACGTCAGGCAGGCCGGTCGTAAAAAAAGATGTACTGCGCCGACCCCAAGTGATTGGAAAATAGGCAGGGAGAAGAATAAAATTCCATACTTAATATTATAAATGTAAAAGTGTGTTTCTTGTCCTTCTTTCACGTCGAAACAGAGTGACCGATTGGCGTGATTTTTTGTCTGGAGATCGTTGGGAGGGTTGGGGTATGACATCGGCTACGTTTTACCTCGGGAGCTTATCTAATTCACACGGAAAAACACGTCATAAAGGAATCCAGAAAAATATTTATGATCAGAATTACTCGAAACTTGGTATTAATGCTCTTCAATAAAATTAAATAAATACATGTTTTAGCATTTTTCGAAATTCATTGTATAAGGGGATTAAATAGGGGATTATGTTTGTATGAAACCTACCTTACCTTTAAAATAATAAATAAAAAAATATGTACCAATGATTTGATTACATTTCGTACTAATAATTATTACAGATTTTTAGCGCAAGCAAAGCGATGGGTTCTGCTAGTTTTGTATAAAGATAACAATCTTTGTAGATTGCACATTGATATAAGTCCATAACTTACAAGATCGGACGGACTTTTGGTCAACGAGTATTACTTTTAGGATTGATAATAGTAACTCACATTATTTATAAAATTTGTAATATTATAAATATACATAAAAAAAGCTGTAATAGTCTAATTAAAATTTAGTAATATAAAAATACCTTGATCAAAATTTTCTTTCACTAAAGGGTTACAATGATTTAACTTTTTCACATATACTGCATGTAATCTTGGGACTAAACTCGGTGGTGGATTATGTGTTAAGATTTCAGCTTCGCTTTCACTTAAGGGCTCTAAAAGAGCATCCGTTTCCGGCTGGAATTCCCCAGACAATGCAGGATCAACAGATAAAAATCCTACAACTTCAATCATATCATTGAGTTTAAGATTTTCATCTTCTTCATATAGCTGTGAAAAAAATTTTAATTTTTTTAACACATAATATAATTCTATTTTAATATAAGTATTGTTTAAAAGATATAGGTATATTGATATTTAAATTGTATAACTTTAATATATTCTAATTTTTTGTTATTTGACTTGATATTAATACAGTTTCCTACATATTTTAAATATACATAATCAGAATTTATTTTAGTAAATTTTGTACTTTTTTAAACTATTTTTTTTAATTACCTTCATAATACACGACATGCTTGGTACATCAGGTAGTGGAAAGTTCAACAAATGCTCTCTAGACACAACATTTGATGATTCATTTACTACTTCTGCAGTTCTTCTTTCTTTATTCCCCGCATCACTTTCAATATCCATAGCCTCTGTGTCTTCTTCACTCTCTTCATAACTCCTTTTTAACTTTGTACTATTTAAATTTAATCGCTTTGAAGTGTTAGGATGTTGCTCTAAATGTTTTAAATGGTTTATATCATCTTCAATTTTCTGAGCCCATTTGTTAAATCCTGGCATAGATACAACAACTATAGTTTGACGTTGGGCACTCTTTAAGTTCTCTGTATAATTTATTTTTTCATTTTCCTGAAGAAAAAAAAAGAAATGCTTGGTTAAATTTCTTTCAAAAGAAATTAACTTGATTATAACAATGTTATTCACTTACATACCAGTACATTAGCCGTATCGGTATATTTCCCTGATTTCATTTTTACTTCATTTGTTCCTGAATTGTAGACTTCAAATTGTTCAAAATAAAATTCCGGATTGTGCATATCTTGAACCATTCCACGAAATCGAACGAGAGATCCATCAGGTAAGTTATGTGAAGCATTTGAATTTAACAAAGGAATCTATAAGGTTATACAGAGGTCATATTTAAAGCAAAATAAATTGAATAAATAACTAGTTATTATTAAAGTGACTTACTTTATTCCAGTTTGGCAACTTCAAAAGCTTTTCTTTCCATTCTTTTTCATTTAACATCCAAATGTTTGGTGATATGGAATCAAAATCATGTACTAAATCATGCATTTTTTTTTAAAAGAAGTTATTTAAACAATATTTCAGTGTAATCCTTTTAAGACTTTTTAACTTTTAATACACAAAAAATATAACTTAGTCAAAATGAAATAACACGTTAATTCATTAAAATATACACAAATTTATATAATTTAGCGGCTAGCGCGCGAATTTTTTGCGTTAGGGAATAGCCGAATCGAATAGGAACCCGAATAGGTGTGTATTTCACAGACTAAGTAGTAAATAGAGGCATGTAATATTTTTTTAATATCTAATATCTATTTCAAAGATTAAAGAGATGTCTCAAATTATTATAGTACTAAAAAAAGCAATTAAAACCTCGGAAACCTTCGAGACAAAGGAAGCAAGACCTTGAATAGTGAATATTATGAACGCTCACACATGACCATAAGAGGCTTTTAAGACAACATTTAGAACGCTAAAATAAACGGTACAAGATACACAAAAATTCAACTTATTAATTATTCCATTTCCTTCCGAGATTCCGAGGTGAAAACTGAAATTCTGAATTCTGAAACCTTAAAATGTGACTCTGGTCAGGTATAGGGATAGCGATGGACGATATATACATCGATATTTGATCATCAGACATCAGATATAACTGACTATATTATCTACCTCTGACAGAAAAGCAAATTAAATGTTTTTTTAATCTGTAAGGGAAACATCAAACAAGTGACCAAATTGACCAAATTTAATGTTCTGTGGTTATGACAGCGACCATAGAGTATATTGCTACATATAGGTAGTCGTCCGAGCGTCGAGTAATAGACACATATATTTCTGTTCTTAAAGTTATTAATTCGTTTCAAGCAAAATTCTTAGTTATTAAGCAATAATTTTTCTATTACTATGTTTAGTTGTTGTGAAGTAAACAATGTGTGAAATCCTAGTTCAATCAGTGTTCTCTGTGTGAAGATATTTAGCAAAAACTTTAAAAAAATATGTGATAAACTGTCGTTGTTAACCTTGTTTAATAATCGGAGCGCGCGAGTGCTAATGAGCTTCGTATATAAAAAACACTAGTTCGTTGACCTCCATTGATGCAAATCTTTGCTAGTGTAATATTACTTACTAATTCGCCATCTCAAGATACATAGACTGTGGCGCAGCCGTAGAGTACGTGACAACACGCTAGCACACGTTGAGGGTTCAAATCCAAACTCTGCCAAGACATTTTTCTTTTTATTTTTGCACACAATTTTTATAAATTACATCATGGCAAATTTTGATTGTGCTGGATGCCCTAACGCACTAGATAACACCATGTCATTGCAATGTCGCCGATGCAATGATAAATATCATGTTGCGTGCACGCGAATTACAATGCAAGACTTTAGTGTGATGAGCTCGGAAATGAAAAGTTCATGGATATGTGACGTATGCAGATGTAAACAACCGAGAGGAGATCACTCCAACACACCAGTTCGTAACTCACCAATGGAAATGGACTTCGTAACTCAGCGTGTAAAAAGTCGTTCTACTTGCTCCTGTTTATCGGCTAACAATGTAAGAGAAATAATCAGAGAGGAATTACGCAATATTTTCAGTAATGATTTACACCCTAAAATTCAGGAAATAAAACATACTCTTGCCTCATTTGAAACCTCCTTGTCGTCATTAAGCCAGGATATAGATAAAGTTAAAACTGAACATGCAAATCAATCAGCACAAATGCAACAGATTATCAAGGAGAACGAAACTCTGCGAGCAGCTAACCAGACTATCATAACTCGTCTTACACAACTTGAACAGCAGACACGTGCTTCAAATATCGAAATCCAATGTGTTCCAGAAAACAGACAAGAGAATTTGGTCAACACGGTACAACAACTTGGCAAAATTATACAATGCCCGATAGCCCCAGAAAATATTCATTTCTGTGCAAGATTAGCGAAGATGAATACTAAAAGTCCTCGACCAAGATCGATATTAGTAAAGTTCAGTAGTCCTAGACTTCGTGATGAATTTTTAGCAGCTACTATTAAATATAATAAAAAAAATAGTACCGATAAACTTAGCACTAGTCATTTGGGAATCGCAAGCGCCAAGAATACTCCAATATACGTTGTGGAAAATCTTACACCAGAAGGAAAAATTCTACATGCTGCAGCTCGCCTTAAAGCAAAAGAGCTCGGCTACCGTTTCGTTTGGGTTCGTGATGGAAAAATATTTGTCAGAAAATCTGAAGGTTCAAACTACATCCATATACGAAATCATGATACTGTGAAAAATTTGTCATAGAGAGGCGCTAAATTTGTATACTTTTTTTTACTAAAAGGCACTTTACAGAATAATATTTCAATTTACTACCAAAACGTTAGGGGTCTCAGATCAAAAACAATTGATCTATTTAATAACATAGTTTGTAATTCATACGATATTGTAATTATGACGGAAACGTGGTTAAATGCGAGTGTTTTCGATTCTGAAATCTTTGATGATCGTTACATTGTATACAGACGCGATCGGGAGAGTAGTGGGTTTCATGCTTCAAAGAATGGTGGCGGTGTACTTATAGCCGTATCTAAGCAATTAAATTCTGAGCGGCTCTTTAATTTCGAGTCCGAGTGCGAGGATCTTTGGGTCTGCGTAGAAGTAGAAAATGTCCAAGGAAAATCCGAAAAGCTTTATGTATGTGCTGTGTATATCCCCCCACCCGTCCAAATACACATTCTTGAGCGCTTTATTAATAACTCAAGTCGAGTATTGGAATCACTCGATGAAAATATAATTATTGCTGGCGATTTCAACCTAAGTAGTATAACATGGTCTCTGGAGCCACATGGGCATCTTTGTGCAAAGCACTCCAACAGTTACCTACAAAATCTCTTAATAGACTTTCTCTCATGCAATGAATTGAACCAATTCAATCAAATCTTAAACTGTAAAAATAAGGTGCTCGATCTTGTATTGTCCAATATTAACACTGTTAATATTCTATCATGTCCTGATCCTTTAACATGTGTTGATCCTCTTCATCCGCCATTGGTTTTTTCAATGGATTTTACAAATCCGGTATCACTAGCCCCTAATAACACCATTACAAAATTTTGTTTTCATAAGGCTGATTATGAAAACATAATAAAAGGTCTAAATGAAATTGACTGGAGGGAAATTTTGGGTGAATGTCTTTGTGTTGACGATATGGTTGCACTGTTTTATGATGAAATTAGTAAATTAATACGGAAATATGTACCTAAAACGAAATCACGCAGTCATAAATATCCAGTTTGGTTTACTCCATGTCTGATCAAGTGCATTAAAGAAAAATATAAATATAGGATGAAAGTTCGCAAATTTAACAATCCTCGCGATAAGCTTACCTTTGATTTACTGAAAAAAAGATGTGAGGTATTGTTAGCATACTCCTACGCTAAATATATAGAACGACTTGAACTTTCCTTAAAATCAAACCCAAAATTAATTTGGTCGTTCTTAAAACAAAAGAGAGGCAATAGTTCGTATCCTTCAAAAATTAAAAACGACAATATATCTGTTTCCAATGGAACGGACATTTGCAATGTTTTCGCTAATTATTTTTCGTCAGTATACAGTTGCAATAATACTAATCAAAATTTTAATAATAACTCTAATCTTATGAACTCTTGTAGTAATGTGTATCTTGATTGTATATCTTATACAGTGGACCAGGTTTACAATGTTTTAAAAAGACTTGATATTAGGAAAGGAGCTGGAGCAGATGGTATTCCATCGATATTTGTCCGTAATTGCGCTAGTGCGTTGGCTTTGCCACTTGCATTGATTGTCAACAGATCTCTTAGCACTAGTACATATCCAACCTTATGGAAAAAAGCTCTGGTGTTGCCTTTGTTCAAAACCGGTGACAAAGAGGCGGTTAAAAATTATAGACCTATCTCCATTATTTCTGTTTTTGCAAAAGTATTTGAGCTACTTATATGTCCCGTTGTTTCATGGCACTTTAAAAAAAATGTTGCATCTGAGCAGCATGGGTTTGTGAAAGCTAGATCAACAGTCACTAACCTTGTTTCCTTTGTGGAAGACATTACTGAGGCTCTTGATACTGGCAAATCCGTTGATGCAATCTACACAGATTTCAGTAAGGCCTTCGACAAGGTTGATCATTCTATTTTACTTATGAAACTCAAAGGTATAGGTATAGCAGGCCCGTTGCTGGACTGGTTCAAATCGTATCTTTCCAATCGGTCATCAACTGTTGTCGTTAATGGTTATGCTTCTGAACCGTTTTTTGCCTATACTGGTGTACCTCAAGGGTCTCATCTGGGGCCTTTGTTGTTTAACATATTCATTAACGACATCAGCAGTTGCTTTAGTAATTCAAAGTTTTATCTGTTCGCTGACGATCTAAAGATCTTTAGACCTGTCTCGTCAAGTTCTGATGCAGAGATTTTACAGGAAGACTTAAATAATTTGTTATCATGGTGTCGTAACAACGGCATGTTGTTAAATGCTAATAAGTGTCATGTTATAAAATTTTCTAGAAAGAAAACATCTCTTGCAACAACGTATAACATTGATGGTCGTATTTTATCTGAAGTTCCTCACATACGCGATTTAGGAGTTACGCTTGACAATAAGCTCCGCTATAACATCCACATAGATAATATTGTTAGCAAGGGTTTTAGGACTCTTGGCTTCCTCTTCCGTAACTGTAAGCAATTCAAGGATGCACGCACTAAAATAATTATCTACTCAGCTTTGGTACGAAGTATTTTGGAATACTGCAGCGTTGTATGGAATCCACACTTTAATATTTACTCACAAAGAATCGAAAGGATACAAAAGAGATTTCTTTTGCATTTATCTTACGAGCATAATCTAGTTAAAACTCTAAGGAGTTACGAGGATAAGTTAAATTATTTTAAGCTTCAGTCACTCTCGAATCGAAGGCAGCTCCTTGACCTTACTTTCTTGCATAAGTTGGTGAATGGCGTCATTGATAGTTCCTACTTACTAGCTCAAATAAATATTCGTGCCCCATTAAAAACTAAAAGGCCGTCGTCTTTTATACCATTCGTAGAAAAAAACACACGCTCACGTCAAGGACGCTGTTCTCCGATTAATAGATTGATGTTGAGTTATAATGCTGTGTATAAATTAACACATAAGAATTGTATTGGTGCCATAACGACTACTGATGATAAACAAAAGGATAGAAAAGTTGATATTGATATTTTTTCAGATAATCTCTCGATATTTAAACGTAATTTATTTTATTTATTCTCATCGAATAATTGTAATTTATAGTCAAAAGGTATATTTTTTATTAAGAAAATTTAAATAAATGTGCTAAGTTTTAATCAGTGTCAACATTGAACAATAAATTAATGAGATTATTTTTCATGTTTAACGATTGTATAATTATAAAATGATGCATGTTTTAAATTATCATATAATATTAATTTCTGATTCAATTTATATACAACTTAATTTTTATAATTTTGAAATGATGCATATTTTAAATTATCAAATAATATTAATTTCTGATTCAATTTATATTTAACTTAATTTATATAATATTCCCATAATTTTTGTATTTATTTTAATTCACTACTTGTATTTGTGTCTATCTTTTATGAAATGTGTGTAACACCTATAATTAAGGCAGCACTTAGAATTTATTATTTATTGTAATTATATTATTATGATTTTGTTAGTGTATGTCTTGTTGGTGTTAATAAATAAATAAATAAAAAATAAATAAATATATAAAACAGCGACTTTATATATGTAGCAATATACTCTATGACAGTGACGCTAAATACTAAATAGTTTTCCGATTTCTAACGCGTTTGAAAATTGAAATGTTTCAAGTTAGTTGAAAAGTGCGGTAATATAAATATAATACTGCAATCTATCTTGTATTCTCTAGAGGTCATAACTGACAACCTACTCTTAAAATACATATCGAATATCTACATAATTAAAGTAAGCAATTTGATAATCCCGCTACAAAATGAGTAAGTATAAGTTATTACAAATTGATTTCACATGGTAGTACTTTTCTAAAATTAGTCATTGAATTACCTTAATCATGATTAATTGTATAAAATGCGATGTTTGTACACCGTTCTAATATTTTCGGTGTATAACCTTAAAATGTACCTATTATTTTTAGCTATGGATATTCGCCCTAATCACACGATATATATAAACAATTTAAATGAGAAAATAAAGAAAGAGGAACTAAAAAAATCTCTCTATGCTATTTTCTCACAATTTGGACAGATTTTGGACATAGTTGCATTAAAGACACTTAAAATGAGGGGACAAGCATTTGTTATATTCAAAGAAATATCAAGTGCCACTGTTGCTTTAAGAAGCATGCAAGGATTCCCATTTTATGATAAACCTATGGTAAGAAAATACTTTTTACTTCATATAAATAAAAATATAAATAAGAAATTCTTAATTTGTTAAAGTATTAAGTCACTACTACTACTCTACAGATGAGTTTTCAGTTGTGTTCTGAAATTAAAATTTTATTGAATATTTATTTTACAGAGGATCCAATATTCTAAAGGTGATAGTGATGTCATTGCCAAAATTAAGGGCACCTTCCAAGAAAGGCCCAAGCGCCCTAAATTGCCAAAAAGTACAGATGATGGAAAGAAGAAGAAAAGCAAAGATGCAAATAGGCCAGCTATACCTGGTTTTGGTCAACCAAGCCTTCTTAACAATGTCAATGTGGAGCAACCACCAAACCAGATTCTCTTCCTTACAAATCTTCCTGATGAGACATCTGAAATGATGTTGTCTATGCTTTTCAATCAGTAAGTATCTTCATTATATTTATTTAAATAATCTATCCATAATATAATATAAAATGGCATTTTTCTTTTTAATGAAATGATACTGATTGTTATGATTATTTTTTTGCTTTTTCCTATAGATTCCCTGGCTTTAAGGAGGTTAGATTGGTACCAAACAGACATGATATTGCTTTCGTTGAATTTGCCAATGAAATGCAATCAGCAGCAGCAAAGGAAGCACTCCAAGGCTTTAAAATCACTCCTACCCATGCAATGAAAATATCATTTGCCAAAAAATAGTATATTTTATAAAAGTACTAATAAAGATTTTAAATATAATGAGAACTGTTTTGAGCATTGCACTGAGCCTTAACAGCTCTCTGGCTGTGACTAGTCAATTAAGTTCCTAAATTGTTTTTTATTGACACCTCATCTTTATAAATTGTCATTGTTTAAAGAGAGATATTATAACACTGAGTATATATGTTAATATAAGATAGAATATCCAGAATTATTTAGTTTTTAAAAGAAACAAAACTGCATAAATTCATTACTAAACATAAACCAGACACTATATTTTTAACAGATTAAGTTGTACGATTTTTATTATCTAGAAAATTATCCCATTTTACAGATTTATATTTTATAGATGATTTTACATATAAATGAATATTCAAATTCATCTGTACTAATATTTTAAAGAGGTAAAGTTTATGAGATTGTGACGTTGTAGGGGGTTATCTCTGGACTGATTTAAATGAAATTTGGTAAGAAGATAGTTTGAGTTTGTCTAAAGGCAGTGGTAGCCCAGTGTTAACGCGCTCGCTTAGGAAACCGAGTGAAGCGGGTTCAAATCCCGGGTCTCGCACCTCTGATATTTTCATGTGTGAATCATTTCTAACATGATTACCACTTGTCTTAACGGTGAAGAAAACATCGTGAGGAAACTTGCATGTCTGAGAAAACCTAGTAAGTTTTCAAAAGACATGTGAAGTCCGCCAACCCGCACTTGGCCAGCGTGGTGGACTATGGCCGGATTCCCCTCGTACAGAAGGGAGGCCCGTGCCCGGCAGTGAAACGTTTAAAAGGGCTGAATATATAGTTAGACCCTGGGAAAGGACATAGGATACTTTTTATTCCGGAAATCATCCCTTCTTCTTCTTCTCCCTGCCCATTTCCCAAATCACTTGGGGTCGGCGCAGTACATCTTCAGTGTACTCATAGAGTATATTGCTACATATATAAAGTGTACTGCTGATAGGATTTGGCAAAAGTTTTACGACCGGCCGCCTGCCTGACGTCAACCCTCAAATCATCCCTTAAGGAAGTGAAAATGGGGATGAAAGTTTGTATGGGGAAACAACCCAGGAACGAACCCGAGCGAAGCGAGGGTGAGTCCCTAGTAATTAATAAAAACCAATATACGAAATATGAGTACAATAAAATAAATGGTCTCTTTAATAAAATTTTTTATTATTTTGATTATAATAATTACGGAATATATATTTCTAAACAGAATAGAAAATATTTAAGTATTTTCAATAGAGACTTACAATGGAGCGTGTATAGTAGCGCGCGCACAAGGGAGTCGTGAGCGTTGGCCATAAACCGTAACCGTATTGAAGGGAAGCCCGTGCCCAGAAGTGGGACGTAAAAAAAGAGCTTAATACAATTGAAGAGAATTAATACCAAGTTTCAAGTAATTCTGATCATAAATAATTATTTGCCCATATAAACTTTATTACCCCTTTAAGGGATGAACTTTGAAAAAAATCTATTCGATTTTTTATTCTATAGCTAAACACTACTTTCTGTATATTTCACATTAAAAATGACAGAGTTTTATACAATCTTTAATCCCCACTTTTTTTTAATTTTACCCACTTAGATAATAAGTTTCGAATTTTTTTTTCTTAGCGGATGCCTACATCATATAAAGTTAATGTAAGTACATAAGTCCTCGTTTCTACGACCAGCGGTTTAGGCCGTGTGCTGATCTATCAGTCAGTCAGTCAGGACCACCACAGGATGCACCTCTTCTTCTCGATTTTTCCTTCAGCTGGTCTAACTTCCAGGTACAATGCATTAAAGTAATTTTTTTGTAAGATGCGAACACAATAGAAGCAAAAAACCTGGTATAAGAGAGACATCACAATGAATCGCTGAACCTCAGACTGAATGTAAATAGGCCATACGTGTGGCGCCCTTCTTTCGAGAAATCATCCCCATTATCTAAAAGTCCAAATTAAATTATTTTTTCATATTGGTAATAAATACTCTTTTTAAATTTTAAAATTAGGTATGGTATCCCTATATTATGCAAACAATTTAAGTCGTGTAGTCGTAATAATGAACATAAAATCAGCACGATACACACTTAACAAAACAGAAAGAGATAAAAGTATACAACATCTATTTTAATCTAGCATTTTAAACTTGTTGTTTTAATCTTTATTTTTAGTGATTGCGAAACTGTCAAAGTCATAGAGTATATTGCTACATATATAAAGTCAAAGTCAAGCTTTAATGAATGAGTCGATCTGTAGTTTTAGGCTTTAGTTTTGTTTAATTTATGAAAAGTTTTTTATGTTTACTATATAGTATTCACTTGTTAGTTTTATTTACAAGATCCTCACAGTATACATAGTAAAATAAAAAAGTTTAAGACTTGCAAGAGATATGGAGGATATTTTTCAGTGGTGTAGGGAAGGTAATGCCCTGCAGGTGCGAGTTTGGCTTGACGATACGGAGCATGATATGAACCAAGGGTAAGATAAATTTGTTTTTAATATTATTTTATTAATCAAATATCCATATGGTTACTACTTATTTCCCTCTATGGCACTGAGAGTACGTCTGTCGCCCACAACATCAAGGCTAGTAAATTATGTCAGAGTATGGCAAATGTAAATACCTCGTAAAACATTAGTCAGAGACTTGATTTAGAAATCATCGAAACTATTTACACTTCTGTTATTGTATTTTTTTAAAACTTAATTAGATTATATTTAAATTAACAAATTAATGCTTTATATTAATTAATTAATTCTTATATTGCTTATATTTTCTAAATCAATGACACAAATGAATAATTAAACTTAAAAACTTTTATATCTAACTAGCTGTTCACCCTTGCTTCCTTATTTAAAAACAAAAACAAATCTATACCACGGGAACCATACATTAGTCCAGGTTAAGAACATATGTGCTATTCCAGACTATAATCTATCTCTGTGCCAAATTTCATCCAGATCTGTTCAGTCATTCTGGTGTGATTTAGTAACAAAAATCCATCCAAACTTTTGCCTTTGTAATATTAATGGGTTATGGGATAATGGGATTTAATAATCTGACACCATCCATGGATTTTTGTAATGAATCATTGTACTCTTTCCTGTTATAGTAACTTTTATTTTTGTAAGTTTTACTTTAATGAGTTAATATTTCCTTATTTGTTAAGCATTGAAGAGGATAATCTTTTATTTATTGATATTTATGAAGTTTTATACTGTTAATTATAAGGAAAATTGTTACAAAAGTTTAACATAAATTTTTAAACACAAGAATGAAGATAGATTATTATTAATTAAAGTATTATTTAGTAAAATTACGAAACCTAGGTTTAATTTTTTTTTTCAAGTGATGATCATGGGTTCAGTCCGCTACACTGGGCATGTAAAGAAGGTCATATTAAGATAGTGGAAATGTTGATAAAACGAGGAGCAAGAATTAATGTTACAAATATGGGTGATGATACTCCATTGCACTTGGCTGCCGCACATGGTCATAGACCTATTGTTCAATTGGTAATTTGCAACATATTTTTTTGTTTTAAGATTACTTTTCAGTACAAGTGTGTATAAAGTTTTTATATCCTATCTTAATAAAAAAATAGAGAGTACCAAAAGTTTTAATTCAATAATTTTTGGTAGTTTAATTCTACATATTATGGTACAGTAATTACTTATTAAAGTTGAAATTATGACTTAACTCAACTGAATAAAAAAAGCTAGATAGCAATAGGATATATATTAGCATATAATATAAATAATTAAAATTTCTTGTTTAATACAATTTCAGTTGCTTCAAAATAGAGTTGATGTTAACTTTACAAACGAACATGGAAATGCTCCCCTACATTATGCTTGTTTTTGGGGGTATGGTGCAATAGCTGAAGATTTGTTGTTAGCTGGTGCTTTGGTGTCTTTGGCTAATAAAGATGGAGACACACCTTTAGATAAAACAAGGGGTCAACTTGTGCAGAGGTAAATGCACAATTAAATTTCATGTTATTGTATATGCATGTTTCTATGATTAAAGTTTTTTGGCATATATTGATCTTAAAATAATGTTATTTTAATATTCTGTAATGTTACCAAACACGAATATTATAAGACAGGACTTTTGGTGCAACTCTAATATTAACTTAAAAAAAGTGTGTCTGTTACCAGAAATAAATAACAGTACTGTCTTAAACATATATTTTGCTTATAAATCAATTATTTATTTATTTTATAATCTACAGACTCCATGAGTTAGCCGTGAATCAAGGCCAAGATCTAAAGAAGATACAGTTTAAAGACCAGTCCTGGCTTGGTCTGAAAACTCGCAGTCGAGATGCCACACTCTCACGACACAAGGGCATCAACATAAATGAACTGGCTTTACACACCAGGATTGCCGTTACTCCCTCTGGTGAGATTAATAAATAAATAAATATAATATGATAAATATACTTTAACTTTTAATTTAAAGAAATAATACCAGTTAGTATAGAATATGTATTTATTATATATAAACACCTGCGACTCACCTTCCCTTAGGTTCATTCCTACATATGTTTTGACGCTCAATATGGAATAGATTTGTGTTTGTCAATTTTTTTATTATTATATTAGTTATTCTGCTATTCGGGGAGAAGAAAAATCCAACATAACATTGATCATAAAAATCGGTCCAGCAGTTCTCAAGTAGAATATTGTAACTTGTAACAAACCCGACTTTGTTTTATATATATTATGATGAGTTGAGATGAGTTGTGGGTTGTATTATAACGTGTTTTTCCGTGGGAATGAGACAATCTCCCGGCCCTACAACAAACTCCGTATAAAAATCACGCCAATCTGTTTCGACTTTGAAGAAGGATAAACAAACAAACACACTTTCATATTTAAAATATATTAATATTATGGATTTATCATATAATTTTGTAAACGTTTCTTGCAGGTGAGTCATGGCGTGGTCGGTGGCAAAAGAATGATATAGTGGCGAAGATAATAGCAGTACGCGAGTGCACTCCGCGCGTGCAGAGGGACTTCAATGAGGAGTTCCCCAAGCTCAGGATATTCTCGCACCCAAATATTTTGCCTGTGGTATGTTTGTGGGGGGATTTTTAATTTTTTAATTTAATCATTTATTTCAGGCAATATTTACATCATTTCACGACACGACACGACAGATGACAGCGATATATATACATACTCTGTATGTGTGTATGCTTGTCCGCCAACTCGCACTTGGTCAGCGTGGTGGACTATGGGCTGATCCTCCTCGTATTGAAGGGAGGCCCGTGCCCAGCAGCTGGACGTTAAAAATAAAGTGAATACATCGAAAAAAAGTCCTAGATACACAATCCCATGTAAAATTTCTCGTAAAACTGTCATCAATTGTATTTACATAATTATTCTAGTTGAAATAAATATACAACAATGTAAATTGAACCTTAAATACAACGATTAAAGTTATCTTCCCAAAAAAAAATTAAAAGCGCTTTAAAAATCGTTATAACGTACCTTAGCTACCTAGTTAAGAATATAAGCAATTAAATGTGTAAGGTCTGTAGGTGGGTTGCTGCGTGTCGCCACCGTCGCTGGTGGTGATCTCGCAGTACATGTCGTGGGGCTCGCTGCACGCGCTGCTGCACGGCGCGGGCGCGGCGGCGGTGGGCGGCGCGGGCGGCGCGGGCGGGCGCGTGGTGCTGGACGCGGGCGCGGCCGTGCGGCTGGCGCGCGACGTGGCCGCCGGCATGCACTACCTGCACTCGCTGCAGCGCGACCGCGTGCTGCCCACCTACCATCTGAACAGCAAGCATGTTATGGTATGTTGTCTGTTTTTGACCTTTTACTTCTTTTGGCACGTTTGGAAAAAAATAGGAGAGTAAAATTTCTACGATGCGCGCGAACATCGATAGCCAAAAAGCGACATGATGAATCGGCTGCATTCCTTTTACAAACAGAGAGTTGTGACATACGGGATGACTTCTTTAGCTATTTTTGCTCTTACGTTACGCCAAAGAAGTATAACTTCTTACGTGCGTACATAAGTACACACAATTATACTTTTTTATTTTATGCAACATTTCAAATATTCCTATAAGTATTAAAATAATAAAGATGGAACTAAGACAACAAGTACCTACAATGTGTTGTACAGATCGACGAGGACCTGACGGCGCGCATCAACATGGCGGACGCGAAGTTCTCGTTCCAGGAGCGCGGGCGCGTGTACGCGCCGGCGTGGATGTCGCCCGAGGCGCTGCAGAAGCCCGCGGCGCGCCGCAACTGGGAGGCCGCCGACATGTGGAGCTTCGCCGTGCTGCTGTGGGAGCTCGCCACCAGGGAGGTCAGTGCGTGCACGGGTGGTTGTGTGGGACTCACCGGCGTGGTGAATTCTGTACTACCCACCCAATTATATACCACACACTATCTATACTAATATTATAAAGAGGTAAATTTTGTGAGATTGTGAGTTATGATGTTGTGGAAGGTAATCTTTGGATCTACTGAACCGATTTAGATGAAATTTGGTAAGAAGATAGTTTGAGACCCTGTCCTTACACATAAGATACTTGTTATCCCGGAAATCATCCTTTAAGGGGGTGAAAATGGGGATGAAAGTTTGTATGGGGAATCAAGCTAGTTTTACAGATAATAATGTTTCTCAAAACAACCCTTTACACAGAATGTGTAAAACATACAATAGTTTAAATAATGAATACGACATTTTTAATAATAGTTTTTTATCGATTAAGAAAAAATTAAATAAATTATACTCCTTACTTTACATTTTCGATATTAAGGATATGCTTTCTCTCTGTTTCTTCTCCTTTATCTTTTTTTTCTTTGTCTTTTTTTTCATGAAATGTTTTTTTTTGTGATTTATTATCTGTAATCAGTTTAATTATAAGCAGATTGTGTGAGGGTACTTGTCTGTCGAGTGTGCTCTCCACTGAGAACATCTACTCATTTATTGCCAATGGACTCAGTCATCCCTGATTATATCCTTCCTTTTGAGCCTTTTGTTATAGCCTCGACGTGTAAGTTGTGAAGCTAGAGGATTGGGGTGATTTTGCAGTCGTTGATGATAGGTTTGCGAAGTGTTTTTGATTTCGTCTTTCACAGTAGACATGTTGAGGTGATCGTGGATTTCATTGTTGGTCACAAACCATGGCGAGTTGCCAATAGTGCGGAGGATCATATTCTGCATTCTTTGCAGGATGGTTATGTTCGAGTTACTGGCACTGCCCCATAGCTGTATGCCATACATCCAAATAGGCTTCAATACTGTCTTGTAGATAAGCAATTTGTTATCTACAGAGAGTTTGCTGTTACGTCCAAGCAGCCAGTGGAGGTTACGGAATCGTATGTTTAGTTCCTCTCTTTTAGCTTTGATATGCCGCTTCCATGTTAGTCTTCGATCTAAATGAAGCCCCAAATACCGAACACAGTCAGAGTGGGGTAATACTGTGTTTTCTAACTTTACCAGGGGGCAGTTTCCCTTTCTCAAAGAGAAAGTTACTTGCACCGATTTTGTTGTGCTAGCTTTTATTCTCCACTTTTGGAGACATTGTGTAATTTCATCTAGTCCATTTTGGAGGACTGTTGTAGCATGTAGTGCATCAGCACTACTGGCCAGTATGGCTGTGTCATCAGCAAATGTAGCGGTGGTAACTCCATCCATTTGCGGGAGGTCTGCAGTGTATATTGTATAAAGCACAGGTCCCATCACAGATCCCTGGGGGACTCCAGCCAGTATGTCATAAAACTCTGAAGTTGCTTCAGCTTCCTTCACTTGGAAGATTCTGTCTGATATGTAGGATTTTAGCAAGCAGTAATATGAATGTGGGAGATAAGTTTTTATTTTACAGAGTAAGCCTGTGTGCCAGACCTTGTCAAACGCTTGCTGAATATCCAAGAATACCGAAGAGCAATATTCCTTGTTTTCAAGCGTTTGTCTTATCTTGTTACAGACTCTGTGCACATGTTCCACTGTAGAGTGCTGCTGGCGAAACCCAAATTGGTGGTGCGGTATGACTTGATTTTCTTGTAGTAAAGGCAGAATCCTACGTAAGAGGACTTTCTCGAAGACTTTTGAAACGACTGGGAGAAGACTAATTGGTCTGTAAGATGTGATATCATTAAGTGGTTTTCCCGCTTTGTGTACCATTAAAATTTGTGATACCTTCCATAGCTGAGGATAGTACTGGACTCTAAAGATCGCATTGAATAGGGTAGTTATTAGTACTATCGCCTTCCTGGGCAGTTGTAACAAGATCTCTTTAGTTATAAGGTCAAAGCCAGGGGCTTTCTTATCTTTGAGCTCCTTTATAGTTTTCCATACTTCCCGCAGTGTAACTGGTTTCGGAGGTGGTGAGAGCTGCATAGCTTGATTGAGAATCTCAGAGACCACGGCCTCGTGAGAGTCGTCCAGCGCGTCGTTAGGAGTGAAGACTTTTGACAGGTGTTCCCCAAAAGCGTTAGCTTTTTCCTGATCCGTTTTAGCCCAGTTACTACCGACTCTAATGGGAGGTTTTGCCTCCAGTGGTCTATCATAGTTCTTGGTGAATTTCCATAATGAAGCCAGTGGAAGCAGTAGCAGTAAGCGTTTCTAACTTTGTTTCAAGTGTGTCATTGTGCCAGTCTTCGATCATTTTCATGAAATGTAAATATTATTTTCTTTTTGTTTGTTATTCACTTTCTGGTTAAGTTTGTTTATATAGTTATTATATGTTTTTATTCGAATGTTGTGTACAGATATAATTGGACAACAAATTTAAAATGATATTTTTAGTTTTTAATATGTAGATGCAATTTTTTCAAATTTGTATTCTGTTTCTGTACCTAAATAAATGAAATAAATATAATATCTATTTTTACAGATACCATTCGCTGATTTATCACCAATGGAGTGTGGCATGAAAATAGCACTGGAAGGACTTCGCGTTACCATCCCTCCAGGTGTATCCCCACACATCTCAAAACTGATCAAAATATGTATGAACGAAGACCCTGGGAAACGACCTTCCTTTGAAATGATCTTACCTATTCTCGAAAAAATGAAACGCTGAAAATGTATGTTGTAACAAATATTATTTCCTTTTTTTTTATAAATATAACCTGAAAATTAAGAAAAATATAGTAACACTTAATTATTATAAACAATTATTGCAAAATTATTAAAACTATGGTAACATTGAATGTTAATATGATTTTAATATAACAATAGTAAATTGAAAGTAATTGATTTAAATTTACATCTTGCCAATTTGATATGTTAATTAAATATTCACAGTGTTTGTTAAACAAACAAAGAATTAAATTCATATACTGATTCTTCAAATGTTAAATTTTATAGAAATGAAAAAGTATTGAAAAATAACTTTTATAAATGAAATTCATTCAGTTTTGGACATTTTTGTTTGTATTTTAGTATACAATTCAAATGTTTAAATAATTTCTAATACTTATTGTATCGATGTTTGCTTTACGTTAAATGTCTATTTATTACAGGACTTTTTTCATTATATTATGAAAAATAGTGCTTTTGCCTAATAAAAATTAACTTAGTATATTAAAGTAATAATTCATTTAAACAATGTACCTTTAATTCTTTTAAGAAATGTAAATGTAGAAACTCTAAAAAGTTGTATTTCCCTTACTTAAAAAAGATTTTTTCGTTTGCTAATGTGAGAAATATATAATTTATAGTAAAAATACATTTAGTTTGTTAGAAATCTCCCACTAGTGCCATTAAATGATTGATGACGGAATACTACAAATTGTAAGATATGGTCTCAAATTTTAAAATATGTACAAAATAAAAAAAAAACAATATACAATACTTTCTTAGATTTACGCGAATATTTGACATTTTAAATAAAACTATCTTTTCGGATTTTGTCGCGGATTTATTAGCATTTTTGTTTCCCGACGTTTCGAATGCTTTACAGCATCCATGGTCACGGGAGAGACTGAGGTGTTACATGTCTTGAATGTATAATTGTTACAGACAGCCTAACAATTAACAAAATGAAAATTGCACCAATTACATTACAATATTTTTTAATAAATAATAAATCCGCGACAAAATCCGAAAAGATAGTTTTATTTAAAACAATATATAAGGTAAAAAGTATTGATATTTGATTAAAAATTAAGAAAAGCTATCTATATATGTATCTACTTTTTCATTTGGATAATGCTTTTAAATTTTAATACATGTCAAGATTATTACTTATTGCTAATTTTTTTGCAGTTTTCTTTAGTTATTGATGTTATTTTAAGTTCTTTATGTAGCTGTCATGTCATGACTTCCTTTTCCAGAGAATATAGCTAAAGTTCTTTTTATAGCAAGTCTAGTTTATTATTTAAAAAAAAGTTTTTTTTTAATAATATTTTTATAAGAATTTGTATATAGCAAATAACCAAAGGAAACATTGAATTGCTTTTAACTGAAATGTGAATTAAGTACACGACCAATATTACTTGTGCGGATGAAAAGTATTTTGGATGATAAGCATTAAAAAAAAATGAAACAGAAATATTGCAGATAAATTGCAAATTAACTATAATAATGTAATTATTGTGTTTTTATGTTCAAAGAGACGTTCTACTTTATAAAAATTTGGTGCCATATCTTAAAATAACAGCTTTATTGAATATTATTATTAAAAAGTCTATTTGAAAGCTGAATAACTGCCAGTATTGTTGTTGTTAGTGCTTAGGTTGTGTTTAAGTATATTTGTGGACTTCTTTTTTTTTCTTATTTTATTCTTTTTTTAAATATTTTTTTTACATTACTTTTCTTACAATTGTTACACGGACTAGATATGATTATTATTTATTAACTTATTGGTGCTACAAAGCGTACATATTAATTCTTGTGAAGTTTCTTATAAGTTAAATTTATATAATACTAGCGACTCACCCTCGCTCCGCTCGGGTTCGTCCCTGGAGTGGGGTCTGAGAGGACCACCCTTATCCTTATCACTTAGGGGTATGGAAAATAGATAGTAGCCGATTCTCAGACCTACTGAATACGCATATAAAATTTGGTAAAAATCGGTAAAGCCGTTTCGGAGGAGTACGGTAACAAACATTGTGACATGGAAATTTTATATATAAGATTTCATATTGCCGCACATATTTAAAAATATATATATTTTTTTTTGTTTTTATGATTTCATGAATCTCTTGTTTATGGTTCAAATGTATTAGTTATTTAAATAATTATATAAAAATGTATGTAATTTTTTTTACATAATATTGAGATGTAAAAGGACAATAATCCATACTGGACTATTATTTCTTTAATTATTAAATATAGTTACATAAATTATTATGTATTTGCTTGCGACATATTGTATGTGCCTTAATGAACTACTAAATTGACAAAGTTTAATATTAACAAAATTATAATGTACTAAATAATAATATAGAGACTAAATTATATTTAGAAATTAAAATATTTAAATATTTTTGATGTGAATAAAAATGTTAATACGTCAAATATACTAACGACTTCGTAACAATGTGACTGTTGTTTTATTATATATCATATATAAAAAAAAATGAAATAATATTAGTCCCGCTGAGTTTCTTTCGCCAGTTATTCTTAGGTCTGAGGCTTCTTCTTTTCGAACTGGTTGTAGACTCATGACATCCAGTAAAAATCGTAATAACTTAATGATGAATACAATATTTTGGGTATTTGTTAAGGGGTTTATAAAGTTCGCTTAAAGACTTGGAAAAATTTCCTCCTTTTTTATTATTTTCTAAGTTATCTATGGAATTTATTACTATTTTATAAGTAACATGTAATTATTATAATAATATATATAAGTTTGTTACGCTTGTAATCATTTAAAATAAAAAATATATATTTAAAAATTAAAAACAATAGATAAAAACTTATATTTTTCAAATTGTCATTTAGGGGTTTTTGGGTATTAGGGGGTTATAGGGTTTTTCGTTTTACTTTTAGGGGGATAAAATTTCATGAGCTGGCAGCACTGAATGACATTGACACTTGACAGAACGATTGATCTTTGATCTTTTATTTATTTGTCAATTGTCATCCATGATTGACCTTATCGTGTACCACATTATATCAAATAGTATATTTTGTAATAATCCACAAATTAATATTGTGAAGTTATATATTTATCTGATGCCTTAAACTATATATTCCAAGATGGAACCCAACAAAGGTTCAAATTATTTGCCTAAAATAACAGATGTTGAATGGAAACTTGAAGTTTTAACAAACACTCCAGGAGTTGGCTCTGATAACTTATTATATACAGTAGTGTTAAAGACTGACAGAGAAGATGTGCGCTTTACCTGTGGAACGCAGCAGCTGCAGGACCTCGTGTATAAATTGAAAGATTTAGTGCGACATTGTGAAAACGTTAAAAGTGAACTTGGGTGATAGTTTAAAACATTTATTAAATCTAATCTCGCTTTTGTATCTAAACATTGAATAGTAGAAAGTTTCAATTTTTTGTGCTCAATTGTGTTTAATTTACTTCAGTGACTTATTGTTTATGTTTATTATGGTTTACATAAACTCTTTAAATATTATTTGTGTATATGGCAAAGTTTGTACTACTTAAGGAATATCAAATATGTAATCAACAATAGTTTATTACATTTGCTAGTATTTTATATTTTTGAAGAATTCAATTTCATTATTTTAAAGCAGATTGTAACTAATAAGAAGATTGTAATTTTAATTTAGTTAAAAATCATATCAAGGTAATCTTCAGCAGAACATGTATAGGTGAAAAATAAGAAATAAAATCACAACCTCTTTAAAATAACTTTATTGCAAAATCATCATATTAAAGAACACAGATACAAGAAAACAATCCCATCGCACAAAAACACATCACAGATAAACAAAAAAAATGTCCCAATTTGATACAAATAATATCCTGCTTTGTTATAATACATACACTTAGAAATCTACAAACTCATCAAATGGTTACATTCTGGTTTTAATAATTTCATCTGAGATTGTATGTTGACTATTATTACCAAATTTTTATCAGATTAATTTTAAATGAATTAATTTTAAATACATATTACATAATACATATACAATTTTATTAAAATTTAAGTTGACTGACAAACTGAGAAAGTATTATAAAATAATTAAAAGGCAGTGGTAGCCCAATGGTAATGTGCTCGCTTGGGAAACTGAGTGAAGCGGCTTCAAATCCCGGATCTCGCATCTCTGATATTTTCATGTGCGAATCATTTCTAACATGATTGTCACTTGACTTACGGTAAAACAAAACATTGTAAGTAAACTTGCATGTCTGAAAAAACCTAGCAAGTTTTCAGAAGATAAGTGAAGTTTGCCAACCCACACTTGGCCAGCGTGGTGGACTATAGCCTGATCCCCCTTGTATTGAAGGGAGGTCCGTGCCCAGCAGTGGGACGTTATAAAGGGCTGAATACATATTATAGAATAATTAGGTTACTTTTAAAAAATTAATTGCGTCTATTTTGAGTATAACAGCATATTTTCCAAAAAATATTTAAAAATATCACATATCAATAACTATACTACTCTACTTCAAGTAATGAACATTTGACAGTGATGTTGTTATCAGACTTAGGTATTTCAACCTTTATAATATTTAATTCTTAAAATTTAAATCGGCTACTAGTTAGGCCCGATTTTAAAACAGCTTATATTATTTTTATAGAAAAATATAGCTGTAGCATGATTATTATTTATCCATAGAAATATAAGTTTAGTCACTATTTGACTTTTCTCTAATAGTTATGCCTACTATGAATTATAAATAGAATAGTCTATACCTATTCAGTAATTTTACATAGGAAATTTTCTTTTTGTGGCATAAATTGAAAAAAAAAATTGTAAAAAATAAAATTTTCTTATAAGAAATAACAGAAATGTTATCTTATTTTATTATGAGAATAAAATTGCCTTGAACCCAGCCTATTTTCTTGAAGTGTTAAAAATAAACAACATAAAGTTTTAATTCTAAATGTTAGAATATATTAACTCAGTTTTTTTGTATATTTTATGTATACTAATTAGAAACACATGACTCCTACATTAAAACAACAAACACTCATTGGTATACATTATACAACAGACACCTATGATTTTGGAAATATCACATATTTCTTTTAAAGCGTCTATATGGTTATAGGCAATAGTCCCACAATTCATATAGAAATAAAAATCATAAAATCTAAAACCATGAAGCGGCTTATGGTTTAAAACTTAATTTTGTCACTACTTATATTATTCCACTACTTAAACATTTTTCTTATACTACACAAATGTTTAGTCAGCTATTGGTATACAAGTCATATAATTAAACAAGCATGTGCAGTAGAACCTTTCGGCATTAGCTGATTATTAAAAATATCTATGAAACAAAATATATAAACACACCGGGTAAAGTTTAATGCTAAGGAGAGTCTAAAGAAGCTTACATATAACTGGGTATTGATTTTTTGTGTCAACAATCAGTTAACACTATTCATAGAGACATCTGATGAGTTGCAATATGATATTTTAAAATGTAAATACACATATATTTTTGAAGGTATACTTCTTTTGGCACGCTTGGAAAAAATTGACTGTAAAATATTTACGATGCGCGCGCACACCGACAGCTAAAAAGCGACATGATGAAGTTAGCTGCATTCCTTTTACAAACAGAGAGTTGTGACATACGGGATGACATCTTTAGCTATTTTTGCTCTTACGTTATTCCAGAAGTATAACTTCTTATGTGCGTACATAAGTACACATACACACGTTTTTTTTCCTTGGTTTGTTCATAAAGAAGGACCTGACCTACAAATATTTTTGTTGGTCACAATATTTGTAATGCTAGATTGCAGCCTGTACTTTGCAGATATTGCTTAAGATATCACCTGGCAACCCATTATTATTGTAATTTTTTGCTACTTCATACATATTTTATTAGATTTTTTATGTTAATTATGCACTTACGAGGACTCTTCAGAAAGACTATAAAATCTTTTCTTCTATGGGGTGCTTTAATTTGGTCATTTTACCAGTACTGATTACTTTAAGCTCGGTGGTAAAATATTATTGATTCCTCTAATAAAAATATGACAGCCAAGCCTCAAAAATTTAATGTTATTTTCGGTATTCAATTCAAAACGCTTTGTTTATAATTTCCCTCAGATCCTAACTTCAATATCACCCATTATAATAGAATGGAACAAATTAATAAGAAATTTAACAGAAAAAGAAATTTTTATATTTTTCAGAACAGTCCTCAACCTTCGTTTCTTTTTTCTTGCACAATGACAGTCATTTTAAAATACATTTATAATCCTGTTAGCTACCGATGAGTAATATTCAAGAATTTTTACTCACATTAATAATATATTTGACTTGGTTTATTAATATCTCAGACCAATAAAAAAGTATTTTATTGGTCTGAGATTAATATAATTAAATACTGGAGCGGTTTTTATCAGAATAAATATAGCCAAAATACGTTTATTTTTAAGTAAATGATATCAATTATTTGGACGTTCAAATAATTTTAAATGTGTTTTAAAAGTAAATACTTTTATTATATAATTTTGGATTTTAAAAATAGACATGTAATAATATGGTAGCAGTAAATGACGGAGAAGTTCGGCAGAGTATAAAATAAACACAGAACAAAACAGCTGCCCACTTAGATCCTCATGAAAACTTATACATAATCAAAGACTAATTATTAATTAATCTCGCATAATTAATATATTGAAAAATCGCCTTACAAAATAATACTGACAATTTAAGTAAAATGTTAAAATCCTTACGTCAACTTCTTATTGGCAGCCATTTTGAAATTTAGTAAAGTTCAACAATTGCAATAGATTTATAACATTAAAACTTATAATTATAAATAGGCATGTTATTTTTATATTTTAAAGTGAGAAAAATTTCAAAAAAGCGGCCGGAGGTATGGGGTGAGGGGGCAGCGGCCCGCCCGCCTCCTTCAGTCGTTCACGATACTCTGGACACTGGATAAATAAATAAATATGTTGGGACATTAACACACACGAGGCTTGTGTTATGGATACCAGATAGTTGATACACTACACATACTTTACACTATAAATATATACATATTATAAATATAAATACCCAAGACTGGAGTACAAACATTCGTACACATCACACAAATGAATGCCCCCAGCGGGACTCGAACCCGCGACCCATGGTACAGCAAGTAGGGTCTCTACAAACTGAGTCAAACATGTCGTCGGCTGTCGTGTCGGTTCGATAAGTACTGCTTTAGTTTCAAATTTGAAATGAATCAAAAAACAAGCTATATAATTGGTATTATTTAATTTTTTTTTTGCACACAACTCTGCGTTTTAGGTATGCTGAGATATTAATTTTCATCATTTTTATCGAAATCCATTGGGCTGTTACATGTAGAAGTAACAAACACATGCATTAACTTTGCCATATAAAATGTTAATGTGACCATAAGTATGTATATTTCTTTAAATTAATTACAATATAGCAATTGTTTGTAATTTTATTTATATGTTTTTTTTTTAAATCTCACCTGATCTGCTATACAGGGGTGTCCCAGCGATCGCCAGAACAGGCACTTACAATGGCGGCACAATGACAATGTTTCAGCATATTGTGCATCTTCCCTTAGCCCATAAAGTCTATGAAAACAAAATATATAAATATATAACACTGTTTAATAAAGTGATAGGTCACAAGGGGCATGCCATCTACTACCTACCACCTTCATGTTAAAATGAAAATATAAATAAAAATAATCATATTATTATGAGTCACGTTATCAAGAGGAATATAAGGACGTCATCATCAAAATATGTTAAGCAGTTTAGTAATTACGAGGGAACATAGGTTTCATACATACATATTCAAGTCAAACACATAACCCTTCTTTGGGCTTCGCCGCAGTCGAGCAAATATAGTAGTATGTGTTGTCACTTACTTTCTTAGTTGATGGAAGACTTTTTTCCAATCGATATCCTTATCGTCCTTATGCACAGAATCGATTTGACTCTGCGTGAAATGGAACTTGACTAGTTCACGCCAAACACGCTGTTCCGAGCATACCGACGACATAACCGTCCAAGCAGAGGACGCTGACTGAAAAATCAAAAAAACTTTAATTATTATTACCTGTGATTAACTGTGTTTTAAGTTTTATATTAATTTGTCATTGAAATAGGCGAAGTTATGAGAAAGGAAAGAAATCACTATTTTTTAAAGTCGGTTACCATATCATTAAACTCCTGTGACAGATATCACACGAATATTATTGTATATACGTAAATTAATTATTATTATGAATAATTTAATTACACTGAACTAACACGCTTTGAACCCATTAAAAATATCTATTAATTTAGCCGACATTACTTATTTATAGTGGAATAATTATACAATTGAACTGACCGAATAAAACTTAGCTATATTTTTAATTAATATTTAATTTTATCTAAAATAAAAATTTAATTTTAAAATTCTCTTTGTAAAGTTAAATCTAAAGTTCAGTAGGTATGTTATATACAGATGTTCAAATAAATTATAGTTCAAGTACAACTTTGCACCTATTTATATTAAACTGGCGACTCGCCCTCACTTCACTCGGGTCCGTCCCTAGCTTGATTCCCAATACAAACTTTCATCTCCATTTTCACCCCCTAAAGGGATAAAAAGTAGAAAGTAGTCAAACTATCTTGTTACCAAGTTTCTTCTAAATCGGTTTAGTAGATCCAGAGATTACCCCCTATAACAAACTCACAATCATTATCTCTTTATAATATTAGTATAGATGTAGGTTAATTATTTTAAAAAGTTTTATTTGATTTTAAAAACGATTTTTTTTAAATATTTCAATTAAAACTGCATATCGAGAAAGCTGATAAGTAAAAATATGGCTTGAATTGATTTAAACATAAATGACTATGACTACGAACATTAGAAGAACTTAAAAACATTTTATTTTATATTTTAATAAAATTCTTACATCTAAATCCCTGTGATCCGATATCCTTAATAATATTTCCCTAATACACTCTTCAGGCAAATCGTGAAGTTTAGGCACTACTTCTGGTCCCGGCTGAAAAAAAAACATCATTTGTTTACTTATGTTTAATTACTAAATATCTATATAATAGACTACTACTACTAGCTTGATTCCCCATACAAACTTTCATCCCCATTTTCGCTCTCTTAAAAGAATGGTTTCCGGGATAGAAAGTATCCTATGTCCTTCCCAGGGTCTGAAACTATCTTCTTACCAAATTTCATCTAAATCGATTCAATAGATCCACAAACTCACAATTCACAAACTTTACCACTTTATTAATACGAGTATTAGTATAGATAAACAATGTATGTGTTTTTAAATTTTGCCTCTGAAACCTTATTCTATTATTGTATGTACTTCAAATAAAATTGAACTAGCGTAAACTTATCGCTAACAGAGATCTCTTGCAGTTAACGTCAAAGGTGCGATATTGTTATAAAAAGTTAAATAAATTAATACAAAAATGTAAAAGAATGGATAGAATTTAGACAAAGTTTAAATAAAATATTGATTAATAAATATGGACAATTTAAAAGTTTTTAAGGACGATAAGAATATCGATTAGAAAAAATATTTCCTTAAAAATCATTAAAGAAATTTATTTTTTAATTAATTTTAATTCATATTTTAAACAGAACTCCACTCAAAAGATTTATTATGTCAGAAAGCGCGTTAGGCATTCGTTTTAGTTGGGAAGTTAGAAGTATCCATAACACCACTACTCAAATCCCACTTCCTAAGGATTTCTTGAGACCAAGACCCATTAATTGATTTCAAGATTAAATAAATAAATATGTTGGGACATTAACACACAGCACCATCTAGTTCCATGGTAAGCTAGGAGGCTTGTGTTATGGATACCAGGTAGTTGATACTTAATACAATACACATATATAACTTTAAATACATACATATTATAAATATAAATCACCCATGATTGGAGTACAAACATTCGTGCTCATCATTCAAATGAATGCCCAGCGGGACTCGAACCCGCGACCGCTGGCATGGCAAGTAGGGTTACAACAAACTGAGGCAAACGAGTCTTCAAAGATTAGAATCTACGACCTGGAACTGTAAGTAATTACTCACCTCCTGAATACGAATACTATTGGCGATGTGTGTTATTCTAGCGATGGCGTGATCATGGTGACCCCACAAGGCTCGGGAACCCAGTGGTCGTCCCCAACAAGCGCGTCTCTCCGCCTCACGCAAAGCGGATAAGGCGACTAAAAGCGCTCTAAGCGCGTTTAGATTTTGTTTCGATTGGGCCACTGTAGAAAATAAATTTTTCTTACATTTTCGTGAATTCAACCTTTTAAGTAGGTAAAACTATATTTTTTAGATTTTTTTCGATTTGCCTGTAATATCTAAGTATATAATAATTTTTGAGACATCAGGAACTAAAAATCAAAATACAACCTTGAAAAAACCGGAAATACAATATGTAATAAAGAACGGAAATATAATAGTAGTTTTATTATATAAATAAATTAATTATTATATTATGTGATTGTAGTTTCTTTATGTTGTTGACTTATTAAATAAAAGCCTTTCGATCATGTTTAAGAGGCCGCATTGTTAAAATTTAAATGACCAAAAGGTAAACATATTTTCTGACTTTTTGATAAAAGTTACTTTTCAGGAACAAACGAACCATTTTTGTAAATTATTTTACTAAATTATTTTACTACATAGCTAGCTGTAAGTTTAAAAGTATTATATTCCAAATTACTACAAAAAGACTACTGAAAAGTTAAATATCATTTTCATGGGCGGCGGCAGAATTATTTCCATGGGGATGCATCTGATTCTTTACATTAAACTATTTTTTTCGCATATATCTAAATTAAAACCGGGATTTTACTAAGACAATTTTATTTTTTTTATTTTTTCCATATTCATATTATCCTTATGGCAGGGGGTGCAAATGCACCCCCTTGGCCATGATCATTTTACCAAATACCCCTAAAATCTTATAAACGACATCATATTAACATAAAAAAATATTTTTGTTGATAATTATTTTAAACTACTAGTGGGATGTAAAAAAAACTCCATTTGTAGACAAAACAAACCTAGTGAGTACAAACTATGTCCAACAAACGTAATAACTTTGACCAACTCGATAATTGGATTTGTCGACAACTGCAGGAGCCTGAAATTCAGTTTCACTATTTCCATTCAGTCCACAATCCATATAGTTCAATTTCACGACCTATTTTTAAAAAAGCTATTAAGATGTTAAATATAAACGTAAAAGGTCACCGGATTTTCGATTCTTGAATTAAAAGTCTACTGAGCGGAAACTAAAGTTTAAAAAGGTTCTTTGTAGATCTGAAGGGCGGAAACATTTAATATTTTACAAATTTTTTGTACAGGCAGTATTTTGTGATCTGTGGTACAGGTAAAAAATAATAAATTGACAGTAAGAGTTTGCCAAAGTCTCGACCCTCCTAATTTATTTATTTATAACTAGCAGAATCTGCGGCTTCGCCCGCGTTTAATCTACATAAAACACTCTATGGCTTTATGTTATACAGCGACTCATCCTAGCTTCGCTCGGGATTGTCGCTATGTATTTATATAATGTACATATAACATAGTTTTTAACCAACTTCCAAAAAGGAGGAGGTTCTCAATTCGTCGGAATCTTATGAAGAAGCTACAAAATATACTTATACGATGGAATGGAAGTTTCAGAGATTAGCGTGTTTAAAAAAGAACTCGTCAGCAATATCAATATGTATGTATATAATACATACAAATAAATTTATTTATATTTGGACGTTCTCTAATCTTTTAAAGACTCAAAATAGTACTTTTGCTGAGCGAAGTGACTAAGAAACTACTTTCTATACATTATATACACGTAGTTGTGTATTAATTAATTACAAATTGTGTGAAGTTAAAAATATTTCCTTAAAAATGATTAACCTACCTTGGTCAGCCAACTGTTCGAGCATGGATAATAACAGTTTTTGCGCAGCCCCCGGCAAATTGGGTAACTTCTGTCCCCCCAATAACAGCTCCAATAGAGCGCAAATATAGTTGAAGCGTCGTACGTCACGCACCGCCGACGAGAAGTCTAGACGGCGTACTGCTTCAGATAGACCATTAAAACCGGCTATCTGTTGATACGAAAAAATATGAAATATTTGTAATCTATTAGTGCGTAGGTTACCTATTATTAGGTACGTTTTATGTAGATAAAAATAGTTATTGTGAGCGTGCCTTAGGAGATAGATATGCTAACGCGGAATTTCCTGTAGGCCTACAATTTTTTAGTACATTGTTTTCATGTACTCGTATATCTAAAGGTTTAGCCAGCGTTAGACATGTTATCGTATAAAAACAGTTTTTATAACAAAACACCGTCTAGGCTGTCATTTTACAAAATATTAACAAATTATATACACAAATCTTGCTCGTTTATCGCTCTTTCTAATAATGAAAAACCGTATCAAAATCGTTGCGTGGTTTAGAAAAAGTAAGTGGGGAAACACACAGACGCAGATGGCGACTTTGTTTTATACTGTGTACAGATTTAGTTTTATTATTATTATTTTTTTTTTTGGGAAGTACATAACCGTACCTACTCTATGGAGTATGGACTACCTCATGTATTTATAAAACCGATCACTAAAAACTAAAGAGAACTTTTAGTGATCGATGATTTATAAATAAACACTCTTCAAATATAATCCACCATTTTATGAAAAATCAAAAATTTATAAAAAAAAACAAAAATTATGAAAATTCCCGAGGAGGGTTGACGTCAGGCAGGCGGCCAGTCGTAAAACTTTTGCCAAATCCTATCAGCAGTACAGAAGATGTACTTTTTTTTTTTTAACGTTGGGAAATGCATTTACGCACGAGGTGTGGGACTCACCGGCAAACTACACACCCACTAAAACCCAACGAAACCTTCCCCCGTCTTAATGGGGCGTCGCAGGATCGCTTACGCATTCAACTACGACGCCCCGACGGCAGGTCTGCCGAAGCAGACCACAACAACCACGGGGTTGCTCCACAGTCCACTCTGCTATCAGAGAAGTACCAGGAGCAACCCGCATGGTACACTGCCCTCCGAAGAGGGCCACCTCCCACCGCCCACCGAAGTGGGCCACCTCCCTGTGCGTTTCTTGGCTTCGCGCCCGGTTGGGTTGCCGGGCACTACTGAGCCCCCCCACCACGACAAGGTGAACGCACGTTGTGTACTGCGCCGATCCCGAGTGATTGGGAAATGGGCAGGAAGAAGAAGAAGATTTTATGAAAAATCACTTATTATTTTTATTTATTTATATTACTATTTTTTATATATAAAAAAATACCGCTAGGAGTATGATATGATATCGTCTATATAATGATAGGTTCTGTGTTTGATTATTGCAAGGGAGAATCTTATTTTGTTAATAATTAAATTGTTTGACTAAATTCAATCAATAGGTATTCTTGCAAGTGGCAGTGTTTAGTATTCACTATTTTAATTTGTTCGAATAAAATCAGCCTGTATTTATTTTTTTATGAAGAGAGATAAAAAACTACGTCTTTCGGGACAAAGATATTAAAAGCGAATATATAAATGAAGGTTAAGCTAAAAATAATTTTACAACATTAGTCTCAGCCAAAAGTACGATAAAGGAATTATATTATGTTCAAAGTTCTTCATCTATAAATACAGATTACAGGTTAAAAAGATATTTTTGTAAAAATACGAACAGAACCAGAACAGATCGGTGTGATATTTTCCATAGAATTAAATTAGTGCGTTCCTACCCAATGTAACCTGAGTAACATAAGTATAACAATAAATAAATAAATAAATATGTTGGGACATATTAACACACAGCACCATCTAGTTCCATGGTAAGCTTGTTTTATGGATACCAGATAGTTGATACACTACACATATATAACTTTAAATAAATATATAAACACCCATGACTGGAGTACAAACATTGGTACCCCTCACACAAATGAATGCCCCCAGCGGGACTCGAACCCGTGACCGCTGGCATAGCAAGTAGGGTCACTACAAACTGAGCCAAACGTGTTCTTCAGCAATTATCTTGGTACATAAAGTTATTGTAGTATTTTCAGCTGCAAAAAAATATGAGAAGAAAAAAAATAAAAGAGCAAAGTAAGGAATGTGGTGTTATTCCGTAAGTGCGTTTTTGTAACACGACAGATGAATCCGCAAATCTACTTAATACTGTTGTATGTATCGTATAAAAGTTCTTACAAAATAAAACTACAATTTACGATTCTAAACTTAGCGACTTATGTGGTCAAATCTCACCTCTCTCGTACATTTGATTGTTATGTGACAGTGTGGAGGGATCCTTGCGACAACGTCATCCGAGGGTTTTTCTCCTTCTTCGCCTGATGATGCGATCCTGCAAGATTAAACATATAAATACATATTTATGTTTACATCCATACTAATTTTATAAATGTGAAAGTGTATTTGTTTGTTTGTCTTTCTTTTACGTCGAAACAGGATCGATCGATGTGGCGTGATTTTTTGTGTGGAGATAGTTGGAGGGCTGGAGAGTGAGAGAGGCTACTTTATACCGCGGGAGGTTATCTAATTCCCACGGGAAAACACGTTATATAATACAATCCAAAAAATATTTATGAGCAGAATTACTTGAAACTTGGTATTAATGCTCTCCAATAAAATTAAATAAATATGTGTTTTAGTATTTTTCTAAATTCATCCTATAAGAGGGTTAAAATTAGCGATGAAAGTTTGTATGAAACTATCTTTTTAAAGATTTTTCGTAGTTTTAGGGCGAGCGAAGCCGCGGGTTCTGCTAGTAAGTAATAATCGAAAGTAGCAATATAATTAAATAATCATTGTTTTCGTATATTTGTGTACATATAATTACGTAAGTAAGAGGATATGCATATTACAAAGTGTATTATTGAATAGTTATAATATTTCCTACAGATAAAGGATATATTACTGTGCGCAGTGAAGTGTTAAATAGGTATGTAAAACACGTCCTCGACCACGTTTGGGTGATTCTTCGTGTAAAAATAACCTGGATACATTTTAAATTGGTGGAAATAATTAGTTAATAAAATAAATAAAAAAATGTATAATAATGTATTGCAAAAAATAATAACAATAATAATAAAATATAGAAAGTAAGAGTCAAGTCGGGGCAATTCACTGATACAAATATAACTCCAAATAAGTACTAAAATAGGTCGATTCAATTTGTGCTCGAACGTTTCGAGCTTCTAAACAGTTTCAAGCAAGGGGATGCCAATTCGAGCGTATTTCTTTCCATCCTCATACAATTTACTACTAAGGCTACGTGACAAATTACTATTACGTGTAAAAAGTAGTTTTCAGCAATAAATTACGTAAATGATGATTTCTTATGATGACAGGTGAATATGAACATTAAATTTGATTAATGAAAACAGGTCTTCTTTCGTTCGTAGTTACAGACAACTAACATAGAGTTGAAATATCAATCTAAATATTAAACGAGTAATTCTTGTATGTATATACATATATATATATATATATATATATATATATATATATATATATATATATATATATATATTTATTTATTGTATCTCTGAAACGGCTCTGACGATTTAGATCAAATTTTGTATTTACATATATATTTTTCGAAAAACGCCGAGTGAAGTTCGGTCGCCCAGGCATGGTATTATTTAATTCAACAAAACCATATGGACAAAAAAGCATCTTATGCCATTATACATATTATATTTATATTTCTACTCGCGGCTTAGTCCGCTTGAAACGTACAGTTTATTTTTTGGTTGTAGAAGGCGAATAAGTAAGATCCTATTACCGAAATAAAAGCATGGTGTTTGCTAGTATCATTAGGTCATGGCTCATGTTTACCAAGTTTTAAGTGATAATCTACACAGCGACTGACGCCTGCTCCACCATATTGGAGAAATGGTATCGAAAAGTTTAGGTATGTAGTTTTTAGAAAATATGTACTCATCAGCGACACTTAGGCGAAAATAGCTAATTATTTTAAAAATTATAAGAGCGTGAAAATTCCCACAACTTTAGCAGTTAACTAATTGACTGAACTGTAATGCTAACAAGATTATCATAAAAGGTAAACAGAGTCAATATTTTATGAGGTTGTTTTTATTGCTTTTCTTGTTACAGTAAACAACTCCAAGCAAATATACGGAAATTGAATATTTTAATATTTATTTACATCTTTTATAATTTGCAAAGTGTTTGTTTATTGCCTTCGAACTAATCTTGATGAAATTAATTATAATAACGGTATAATATTACATATTAGTACATTTATATCATTAGAAAAAAGATCTAATTTTTATAGACATAAGTATGACATAGGTACAAAAATATTACTATGCACATACTTCTCAGGTAGTGGTTCTTAAAAATCGGCATGACGATTGTCTTAATAATATTGTAAAGAGGTAAAGTTTGTAAGTTTGTGAGTGTGTTTGTAGAAAGTAATCTCTGGAACTACTGAACCGATTTAGAAGAAATTGGTAAGAAGATAGTTTGACACCCTGGGAAGGACATAGGTATAGTATAGTTTTTATCCCGCAACTCATCCCTTAAGTCGTGAAAATGGAGATAAAACTTTGTATGGGGAATCAACCTAGGGACGAACCCGAGCGAAGCGAAGGCGAGTCGCTAGTTCTTTAATATTTACGTCAACCTATAACCGCTTTAATAGATGTTCTAAATGTTGCTTTTTGTTAAGCTTTTTATATAAAACTAAAATATAAAGAATACAAAATTGTGTAGGTGGTACATTGGTCTATAATTTAATTGTTGGTTCAAATTAGATAATTATATCTTGAGAAAAAAAAGTCCGGCAGGATAATGGAAAATAGGTTGTTAAAAATTTGAAAATCGTCTAGCGTTTAGAATTATATAAAAATCCTTTTGTTATTAAAACATATGAAAGCAACATAGTCATACTAGGACATGTTACACTATAATGTTGCCTTAAGAAATATTCGTATCAAGGTCAATTAAACTCAATGGTTCATTAATTTTGTTGCAGAATAATACTTTTTTATATACAACTATGACCAATAACCAAATTCTTAAGTTTTACATATTAGTATCACGGTAATGTACATTACATTACCGTGTTACTATACTCTTACATTGCAGTTTTTGTATTATTTTTTCAGAAATGAGATATTTTCCCAGGGTAAAAAGTATCCTATATGTTGACCCGGATAATCAACTATCACCATACCTCAAAATCCATCCAGTAGTTTTTCCTATGATGTGGTAACAGACAGACAGACAGACAGACAAAAATTATAAAAACTATACATTCGGCCTCTGCATCGATAACAATGTACAGATTCGGCTTAGTTACAATTTTATTATATATATATATATATATATATATATATATATATATATATATATATAATAAAATTAAAAAAAAATAAAATTTAAATTATATATATATATATATAGAACTAAATAACATAGATTAGATTAGAGAATAGACAGAGTGTCATACAACTTAGCATGAAGCCAAACAATAATGTTTTAAAATAATAATGATTTACAATTAGTATACATATTACAATTAGTATACATATTACAATTTGTACATATACTGAGTGATAAGTAAATAAATAAATGATAAAAATGGCTAACGGATTTTAATTATATTTCTCTTTCAAGTGAAGAGAACTAATGCTTAAAAAATACAAAAGAATATAGTATTACTTGTTAAAATTCATATTTTATTCTTAAAAATTGTATATGCGTAATTAATTTAAACAATACATCTATAAAATTTTCCATATCCTTTAAAAAAAGTAAAGGATTTGTATGGCAGAATCGAGAAAAGTAGCATAAACAGCAAATCACGCTTCTATTTTTGACTTTAACATTTATTTTGACCGACTCTGTATAAACTTTAGTCTGAGAAAAAAGCGTAGTTTGCTAAATTTGCTAGTTAAATAATCTTTTGGGTCGTGAAAATGACGGTAAAACCAATATATTATTAATTAAAAAGAAATACTCTTTTATATATACGAGTAGAATATTTTAAGCTAATATTTAGGGCTTACAGTAGATTGAGCAAATAACCGTTTACTTGGTTTAATTGAACGCGATGCCGTCTTTTGTTGCGCGGTACAAATTTCCGTGTTTAGAAAGTGCGTTGCATAAGTCATTACCTACGTGAAAATGCTGTCATCTGACAATATCATTTTTACATTTTATTTATTATCTTTTAATAACGAATATTCTCGTCATTTTATTGTGATTTACTATTATTAGCTCCATTATAAGTAACTAATAAACATAAATGGCCATCTTGGGTAATGTAATATTAATAATATGTATGTGAAAGTTTTTGAATGTCTGCACAATGTGTTATGGAATACCTATTGATGATGATGATGATGTTCTCCTAGCCGATTCCGGCCACGGCGGCCAATGTCATTGAGACTAGCTAACTGCGCAGGAGATATTATAGTGCACAAGTGTACGCGCAGACACAAGTGCACTCCCTATTCCTGTCACTCTCATACTCTGGTGGGACGACCACTCGACACGACCAGTGAGAGTTAAGGCGCAGGACCGACGGCTTTACGTGCTCTCCGAGGCACGGGGGTGAAATACCGTCAACTTCCCAACTCCGGGCTGTTACTGAGACTTACTATACAGAAAGACTAAATAACTAAACTTGGCCCGACCCGGGACTCGAACCCAGGACCACCGAGTGTGCAGCCGTACATGCTAGCCACTACACCACCGAGGCAGTTATTCCTATTATAAACTAGCTAGCTTGCTTCCCCATACAAACTGTCATCCCCATTCTCACCCCCTTAAGGGATGATTTCCGGGATAAAAACTATTTCACTCACTCACTTTTCATATCATGAGGTTTAAAATCTTTTAATTTTCTTCTATACAAAGCTTGTCCTGGCAATAAGAAACAAAAAAAATTGTCCAATTTGGTGCAGTCGATTGGGAGGTATGCTCGTACATACATATATTTCGGTGATTCATTTTTATTTATATACTTAGATACGAAAGCTTTTATGTAGTGCAAGTACCTAACTGCTTCACGTTGATTATAAAATTTGGTACACAGATACGGTGACCTGGACTAGTATATATCGACTTTAATATTATTCTAATAACATTTTCCTAAATTTTCCAATAGATTAAAAAACTAAAAAACAAAAGATACTTAGCATTTGTGGCCGCGGGATATATAATACAATTATAATATAAAAGTATTTGGGCGATTACCTACGCTTCGCTCGGCGTTTTGTGGAAAACTGTTTTTTCGGAAAAGATATAAGAATGAGAATTAAACTTTAATAAAACATAATATAATGTAGTTTTAAATTGACACTCAATCAT